ACCACTCAGCCAGCTGCTGTGCCTATGAGAAGTAACTGAAAGCAATTAGCAGTGCAGACAGCATAATGGAGGTTGTGAAATACCATTTCAGTGAAGGCTCGCTAACTACTCGGTGAAGCCCCAACACGAGCACTTATTGCATGGGTATGGTAAGGTTATATTGCTGTGAGTGCTCATCAGACTTCGTCTCTCCTAGACAAGACTGCCATGCTGCCTGGCCGGCATCAGCACGGTGTTTATTTGACAGGGACTTCAGTTATGCTTTCAGCTGTGAAGCCAGCACTAAGCCATAGGGGAAGGCTATGACTTGCAAACCTCTGCCATGTCTTTGACTCCACTGGTCATTCCTCCTGCATGTGACTGCATCGAAACTTGAACAAAGATGTCTGCAGTCAACCAGGACTGCCCTAACAGAGCTCTGCTGTCCTAAGCACGAAGCTTTGAAGTAATTGCTGGGGAAATGGAGGTTGTGGTACAGATCACTTGGCCTCGGGGAGGGTTTCCCCAGAGATCATGTGGAATCCATCTGGTGGGAGTGCTGGAGGTAACTGAGAGGCATCACACCCGGCACTGTTGAAGCAGCAGCACTGCTTAGCTGGAGGTTTGGAGCCAAAGCTCTGGGCACTGCGGTGAGCAGAAGCCCCAGAGCTCTTCATGGAGTTTTGAATGAAGGGGCCTGGCTGGTGTGAGTGAGAGTGTGGCTTTGAGATGCTAATCTGGGGACTTCTTCCACTGATACAAGACAGGAGGACAGGAGCTGAACAAAACCTTGCGCCTACAAAGCAGCTCTTGATTTATACACATGCTCTCCTCAAGCCTTGGTGTCACTTGGCTTTCAGCAGCCACCAGAGGTCTGCCATGTCAGCAACAGCTGACAGGAACAAGTGCCAGTCGGGAGCGTGTGTGGAGGGGAGCTGCAGAGCAGATGGCAGCAGGGAAATAAATTTGGAGCTGCCATGGGAATAGTCCTGGAAACGGTCCAGACTGTGGATGGAGGCAGATGGGAAAAACCCAGTTTGTGTCTTCCCAATTTTGCTATTTTTCAGATCCCTTTATTTCCAGCTCCATTATTTCTGGGCCATTCTTTTCTGTCTGTTACTGTACCCTCATCCTTATTTTTCTTTTCTCTTTTCTTCTCCATCTGTCTTTTCTCTCTCCTTTTTTTCTTTTCTTTTTTTTTGTACTTACATTATATCTTAGTTTGTGGAGGGCTACCCAGCCTGTATCTACCTTCTTATAAATTTATTCCCAATTCCTTTGCCCCACATGTCCATAGCTGATCCTAAAAGCGTCCCTTGGCACTGACAAGCTCAGCACATGGATCTGACCATTCAGCATGGAAGGAAGGGAAACACCTGCGGTGCCTTTGCTGTGTGCTGCCTGTTTCCCTTTCCACCTTCCCTGTGGGAAGTGGGATCCCATGGAGGATGGGCTGAGCTGGCTCCCTGAGAGCATGAGTCTTGCGTGATGGCTGGTATGTCTGTCCCCTGACACTGCAGTGATGTCTTTGCTGTCAATGTGGCTGCCTCCCTTGTGAACCAGCCCGTCTTGTGTTCATGTGAGTTCACCTGCAAGATGCATCAGGGGTGTACTGAGGGCTTGGAGAGCTGGATCAGCCCTCGGTGTCAGTCCTGGACCCTAATGCTGCTGGTGTTTCTGTGTCATTAGAGGGGAATAAAAAAAAAAAAAGTGTGGTGTGGAGAGCTGTTAGTGGAGCTGTTCATAAAATTTGTTTAGTCTCTGCCTCAGCAGAGCCAAGGGAAATTTCAGGTCTGCAGTAGGCTGGGCAGAAGGAGTGCTCCCTGCTGTGGGAGAATGCACACTGCATGCAAGCTACGAGTGGATTTGAAGAAAAAACAAAACCAAAAAAAAAAACACCACCTGAATCTGCAGTTACTTGAAACAAAGGAAATGTTTGTGCAAAAGGTGGGAGCAAGCCTGGATGTGGGGTGCTAAGCCCTGTGCTGCCTGACAGGGCCACGCAGATACTGTGCTATCACAGCAGCCCCAACAGCCTGCAGGATGGAAAGGCTGGGGAGTGTCCTGCAGCCCCAGCTTTTGTGGGGAGCCCACTGAACCGTGGCTGTGCTTTTCTGTGCATGTTTGCTGTTCATCGCTAAGCAGAAAGTAAAGTGTTAATCCTAAGGTGGACAGGTGCCCCCCTCCTGCTCGTATTTACTGCTGCCTGCTTCTTTCTTTGATGATGGTGACTAATAGTTCATCAATGCCTGGGTTATACTGTCTCTATTTAGGACTTGCAGCCTGTTGAGTGACAGTAGGATGTGTGGGCAAGCTGAGACGCCCAGACCTTTTCTGGCAGGATTGTTAGGGCAAGAAAATACTCTGGAAACCACAATGTGAATCATTTGTCTATCCGAGCGGATGACACTATGCACCAGCCATGCTGCTCTGCAGTCAGACCTGCATGGTGGAGTGACTGTGTCCAGACCAGCTCCCTGTGGGGCTGAAAACCTCCAGGACAGATGAGGTTTCATGATAAAGACCTGAAAACCTAAGCCTGTGTGTCCTGCTGTGCACTTGCTGATGTGTTTGCAGTATGCTTCCCTCTCTGCCCAGCTCTGGCAGAGCATGGTGGCACGGAGGAGGTGGGAGCAGAGACTTCATGGTGACACTGCACGAGGCCATGCGATGTGCCCATGAGTGGCACACACTGTCTGCAGGCACTGGCAGGTGCTCAGGCAGGGCTGGCTTGCTGCCTTTCTGGGGCAGGCTTTCCTGCTTGGTGGCTTCTGCTTCATGCCATGTTTCACAGGGCAACAATGACCCTCCTTGTTGCTTGTGCCGTACCTTGCATCACCAGTGCGTTTAATCCTCTTCAGAGGGAGCTGGACTTGCAGGGAAGAAGGAGGTTTATAGGGGGATATGGGAATTGCTCAGGGTCATGTGGCTAAAACAAGCCAAAACAACAAGAGCAGCTCTGTCTTCTCAGCAAGTGTCGTTCCCATCCACCTCCTGCTGTGCTGGCCCAGGAGGCCACAAATTCAAGCAAAAAATGGCCTTGTTAGTACAGATGGCTCTGGGGGATTGCCAGGGCCCCTGAGCTGTGCAATGAGATGCAGCTCCAGGGAGGCTCACGCTGAAGCTTCGCTGGCATCAGCAGGGCTGGGTCCTGCTCCTCTTGCTGGGTCAAGCTTCCTCCCTGCCACCTCCTCCAGCTCGTGCCTGTTGTCATGCTGCAAACACCCGTGCATTTGTGCATGAGAAGCACTTTGATGGCCAAGTGTCCATCCCTACTTTCCTGTACACCTCTGAGATGCTGCCGCACTGCAGCTGGACTGCAGCCACCTCTGGGTGGGACGTGGCAGCTGCTGGCGGTGCACGGCAATGCTGTGCTGCTTTTCAGGGTGGGGAGAAAAGGTTACTGTTTGTGATTGGGAGCAGAGGGTATCCTGGGGAAGCAGGAAATGACGGCCAGGTGGGAGCATGCCAGCGCTTTGTGTAGGGAACTAGAAAGGAATGAGAATGGTTAATGGTGCAAACTCGACATGCATTGCCAAAAATGAACTCATGTCTGTAAATATTACACTGCACTCAGCAAGATTAGCACAGGAAAATACCAGTTGTTAGGGTTCCTGTTACCATCTGAATTATGCAAACAATTTGCTTGAGTTTATAGATGAGCTGGGGCAGAGTAACGTAGGGTTTTTTTCTAGCCAAAGTATTTTGGTGCGCTAGTATGTTAGCACATTTCCCAGCCTCATAGTGCTACACAAGTGGATCCGTGCCATGCTGTTTTGGGACAGCACACTGTCAAGTGTGGCCTTTCCCAGGCAATGCTGAAAATTTGGGAATGTCGGAATGATGCCGACCTTTCATGATGCTGTAGAGGCCCAGGGCGGTCACCAAGCCTGGTGCTGGGGTGAAGGCTCTGTACTCCCCGCCCCACAAACGCAGTTCAGGAGTTCCTTGGCACCTCTGTGGTGGGCAGCAGTGACGTGCCCAGTGCCAGGCTGTTCGGAGGCCAGACACCACTGTGATGGGCTGCGACTGGAATGATAAACACTGGCTGTCAGGGAGGCTAACTGCCTTTCCCACGGCCATGCCGTGAGTCAGTGTCAAGGCAGGATTAGCAGCTGGGCGTCCCTGGCCACAGCCCCGACCACACGTGCTGCTGCTGACTGCATGACCCAGCACACGCATGGCCATGGAGCTGCCTCTGCTGCTGCAGCCTGTGTCCGAATGCAGGAGTGAGCCTGGGACCAGAGCTCCCCCTGCTCCCTGCCATAGCTCGAGTAGAAGTAGGTCACCAAAATTCCCATTGTGCTGCAGAGCTTTGGGGACACCTGAGCAGAGAGGGCATAGTTGTGAGCCATTGCTCTCTGTAATCCTATCATGGAACAAGCCCAACCATACGGTTAGATGCTAGAGAAGCCCCATAATCATGAAACCTGGCTTTTAAAGTGCTGCTCTTCAAGGACTTGTTCGCTCTGGATGATTAATGCCTTGAGGTTCCTTAGGGTAAAAGCTGGAGGCACGGTAGTTTTACTGGCAATAAAACTTCAGCTTCCCTCTCATGCTGAATACAAGTCCAACTCCCAGGAATGTAGCTCCTGGTGCTTCTCCATAATCTCTGCTGGGTCCCCCGGTGAGCAACCCTTGACTTTTCTGGGCCCTACAGCCAGGAGACAGCCCCTCATGTATGGTCCAGAGCTAGTTCCTTAGCACCTTTGGCCCTGGGGACCATGATTCTCCTCTTCCCTTCGGCAGCGGCGGTGCAGAATTGACACTGGGTCTGTAATTTAGCTCAGGACTGTTATGAGACACAATCTAGCTCTAAAGCCAAGGCCAAATAGTACTAGCATGGGGTCAAGTTCCTAAGGCACTCTCTGCCTTTGGGACTAATTTGGGTGCTGAGTAGCTGGGCAGGTATTTGAATGTTGCCTACAGAGGTCTCTGGATCCTATTCTTCTCTCTCGGATCACCTAAAATGGTAAGAATTTTCAAGGGGGATTAAGGTTGTGATCTCTGGGGAGGGGAGTGGACATCTGGTAGGAGTCCCGTCTGTATTAATAGCCTCCGTTTAAATGTATGTTATCAAAAGAGGCAGCTTCTAATCAGCCAAGAGACTGCACCCTGTTGCCTCAGGGGCTGCCTGTGACTTTGGGCTGTTAATCATGGCTTTCCACAGGCACACAGGTAAAGTGGACATGCTGCGGTCTGCGTTGTGGGAGAAGTCCTGTGTGTGAAATTACTGCTGAACAGGGAGGAAGGTTTTGCTAACAGAGAAATAACTCTTTTAAATGTGGTCTTAAGTCTCTGCAGTCTGCAGCTGTAACTAATGATGGCAAACAGGCTTGTAACCAGTGTGTGGGACTGGTGCTGGGAAGAGCATGGTGGCATGGGCTGTATGCCTTGTAAATGTTTACTCATTTGTAAAATGCACGGGGTGTATGCTTTGTATCTGCTGCAGTGAGAGGGCTGGGGCTCAGCTGTTACTGGGGGAAGACTGGGTGAAGGTGGGGGATGGCGCCTCTCCCCACAGCCAGTTTGTTGTGGCATTACTGCCTGGGGCAGGGGAAACCTGCAGCAGAAGCCCAGCGGGTAAACCCAGATGGTTTGCTCTGCTCTAGTGGGCGGTGTGTGCTTGCTCCCTCTGCTGTGTTTATCTTGTAGATCAAAGAGGTCGACTCTCTCTCCGGTAGTAATAATATAAAAACCTAATTTTTCCTTCTCATTAACACTGACAGTGCATGTCAGCTCTGCATGAAAAACTTGACTGATTCTTAAAAACTGATTTTGTGTGTGCCCAGAACGTATTTACAGCCCTAGGTGACAACATCCAATTGCAGTGCTATTGCATCTCTTAATGGGACGTAGCCCAAGGGGTGGACATGCCCTGGAGTGCAGGGCTGCAGCTCCTGTGGGCATCAGACCAAGCTGCTGCACACTCAGAGCTAGGGGGCTGTGGTGCTCCACACCTGGCCGGGGGCACAGAGCTTCTTAAAAATTAGGGAGGGAACTCAGCTTCATGCTAAGCCACCTGGGACAAGGCATGAGCATGAGGCTTCTTGCATGGCATGTAACTCGCTTAGGATTTGCTTGTGTGAGGCAGATACACATCACGCAATATCTCTCTCCAACTGATATTTGACTTCCACGGTATCATTTTTTTAAACATCTCAAAGGTGTTTAAAAAGAGCAATTCATTCAATTCAGAAGTAAGATTACATTTATTTGCTCGCTTCAGCCCACCAGACTGACTGATACTGTAGCATCACTTCATTCTACTTCTAGCTCTTTCTTTCTTTTCTTCCTCATGTTCCTGTGGGGAGATGTTCTCCGGGGCAAGGACTGGGCTTTTCTTGGCATTTCGGGCACTGCACTGAGATTATGGGAGAGCCGAGTCAGAATTCCTGCATTACCAAACTCCCTGGACAAGTGACTGGGGCTGGTCACAAAATCTCTGGCTCCTCGGCAATGAACACAAGCCTGAGTAGCCAGTTTTAAACCGAAGCAATGACAGCAGTGATAACCTGACATCCTGTGCACTTTTCAGGCGGTGCAGAAATGCACCAGCCTTCAGGTCTGTGTGAGGGCCTTTGTCCAGCCCGGCTGCTGGTCCTGCCACCTGAACCGAGGGCAGGGTCTGCCCTGCCAGCATTCGTTGTTGTGCTTGATATAAAATACTGAAGTGTCTGCTGAGCAGATGCTGCAGCTGGAGTGCTGCCACCACCAAGTTTTAGCTCCATGTCCATTCTTAGAGCAGCAGGGAGCCCCTTTCCCTGGCACATCACCTGGGGGGTGCCACAGCGCTTGCCCCGGGGCAGGAACCCCGCAGCCAGAGAAAGCCTTGTGTCAGGCTCCTGGGGACACCTGGGCATGGTAAGGGCACCTAGCTACTGAGATGGTGCAGGTCCGTGCAAAGCTGGAAGTGTAAGAGAGGAGAAGGTAACACGCAGATACTGAACAGAACTTTTTTTGCCTTGACTGATTTAGTTTGTTTGGAAAGGTTTGAGCTTCATTGCTTAAACTCTGCCTCAGTGCTCAGGCCTACTCTAGGCAGTGGTGCTGTGCACTCCGAGAGCTTTGCTAGCCTTAGCTGAGCTCTGTAGTAAGTGTGAAAGTCAGCCCTGGGGGATGTGTTTGCAGGGTGTTTTTAATAGCACGTCCCTGCTCCCTGGGGAACTGTGAAGATTTAATAATGATTGGGATGTGCTCAGACATGGTGGCAATAGGACCATAGGGAATGATTTTGGCAACTGCCTGAGGAACTTGGAACCATTCTTGTTCTAAATAAAGAAGATTCTATTTTATCATCAGACTAATTTTTGAATTATAGAGTATGAGACTTGCACGTGCCTCAGCCTGGCAATGGGAGAACATAGCTCTCCGCTCTTTACTGCCAGCCCTCCCAGCGAAAATGACCTGCAAGTGATTTGCAAAGCCAAAGGAAAGAGAGCAATGTTTGTTGTCCAGGGCAGTGTGCCTGTGACCTTGAGGTGCAGTTCTCAGCATTGCTTCTCCTTTCTGATTAACAGGACGCTTCTTTTAAGGGTATTCCCTGGTATTTATAGCAAACCACAAAACATATAGAAGAATGCTGAGAGTAGCAACTCAGGTGACGCAGCAGCAGATACCAGGTCCTGAGCTGAAACAGGCAGGTGCTGTCACTGCTTGGTGGCATGGGGGCTGTGTACTCTGTCTGCTCAGAACAACAAAGCTGACAGCCAAAAAGCAGTTGCTCTTTCCCTGTGTGCCCAGTATCCCAGCAGAGGGTTAACAGCTTCAGCCTCATCTTCCTTCCTAAGCGACAGAATAGCCCGTAAGGTTTAAGTACGGTTTCCCTGGTTGTTTTCAGAGACCGCACTTGAAGTTCTTCCTTGGTGGTTTATCACATTTAAACATATTCCCCAGAGACATTAACACATATCCTGTGCTAAGTGCTTTGCTTATCAGCTATGCTTCAGCTTCATTTGCTGAGCGCTCTGATTTCATTTGTTCTGCAAACCACTGTGCTGCTGTGTGGTGGTACACAGCCTGGCTGAACCGGGATGAACCGGCACGGGGCCGTGGGAGACAGGAACTGAAGGGAGTGGCAGGGTTTGTGTTAATGCCATAGCTTTTGTGGGGCTGTGATTCTCAGGTCTGCACCATTTCCAGTCCCACAGCTTGCTGTGCTGCAGTGGTGTAGCCCTGACCACCAGCTGGGACAGCTCTGGCTGCTCCGCAGCCTGGTATCAGCATGACCTGAGGTGCACAGGAAACCTGTAGGGCCCAAACATTTGAGACTTTTGTTTGAAAGATAAAAGGCATGGGTGTCTGTCTGTGGGCCGAGGGGCTGCTTTGTAAAGCTGCAGATGCTCTTTTGGGACAAGCGGCTAACTTGTACCTCTGTGTTCAGGTAAATGTTAGGGTTGAATTCCAGCAGGTCTTTTGTGCCAAATACCCTGATACTTGAGAAGGCCACTGGTCTGGCCAGCCGCCCCTTAGCTGTAGCCAAATTCATCAGGGAGCTACATTTAGACAGCACTCTGCCAGGCTGGTAGGAGAGGGACACCTTGCTTGAAGTGGGGGTAGTTTCTGGTGTGTCCTGAGTTTCATGATTTGTCTTTTTTCCAAGTCAACAAAGACAGGCCAGGGTTAAGCTTTGGAAAGTTAAGTGGTGGGAACATGGAGCAATTGGAGCCTGAAGTTATCAAGGAGACAAACATTTCCAAAATCATGATAAATCACTTCCAAAATCTAGACTCAGAAAATGTATTTGTTTGGTTACACAACAAATGCCCGTTCTGTTCTGTCTGCCTCCTGTGAGAGGGGACTCAGCAGCATGGGGGAGCAGCAGCAGGGTGCCAAAAGTTTCCTCCGTGGGGCAGCGTGCTCTGAAGCCATGAGGGACATTTGTTCCACCCCAGAGAAATGTCCCTGTGGTCCCAGTGCAGCTGCTACCACTACTTTTGGGCTCTCGTCACCAGCCCCTGGTGGGCTGCTCCTGTGGGAGGGTTGTAGGGGATGGTGTGGATGGTCTGGGCTCTTGGCACGGCAGGGGTGGGCAGACACACATTTGCTGGGACAAGATGGTCAGTGTTTGTGTGCTCATGGCAGGCAAGAGGACAGAGGTGGCTTTCTAGGTCTAGATTAGGGCAGGGGTGGTTCTGCTGAGGGCAGAAAGCTCCTGTAAGAGCTGGGAACAAATCCATGCCACAGCTTAGGTATGAGAGGGGCTCTTGGGTCCATAAGATGGCACAAGGTGGGCAGAAGCTCCTAGGGCTGCCAGGTCCGATGCTAATTGTCTGTGGGGCTCTAAAGCTACTGTGATAAATGTGTGTCTCACGTTAGCAGATGATGCGTTGCACGGGAACACTGGATCGTGTTACTCCCTGAGCCATATGTTCACAATTACATCTGGTTGAAAGCAACCCTAAACCTGATATCAGGAGCATTTCGATACCATTTGCCCTGGACTCTGTACAACTGCGTTTCTTCTAAATAAAACCCACTCGCTTGATAAAGCTCTGCAGGGCTGGCGGTGGCTCACATAGTTTCCATGTTTCCCAGCTGTTTGTTTGTTTCATTTACTTGAACCGGCACAAACACAACCCTTGGCGTAGTTGTCAGCAGGACGTGGCCGTCTCCTGACCTTGGCAAGGCGGCGTTTCCAGCCCTGGTCCCCACAGAGCTCAATGCTGGCCAGCTCGGCCTCCGCTTCAGTAAGTTGAAGGGAAGGGAAGGGAAGGGTGTGAACCCAGCCCCTGCCTCTGCTGCTGCCTCCCTGTGTCTCATTTCTCTCCTTGGGATCATCTGTACTGTTTTCTGGAACAGAAACGTTCCAGCTTGCTCCACTGCCTGGGCTTGCAGGGTAGCAAGTGCCCGGGTCAGGGCCTGTTTGGTTTGATGTGCGTTTGTGTTTGCTGAGCCCTGCTGCTTGCACAGGCAGCAGCAATGATCCTGTGGCCTGGGGCTCTTGTGCCAGTGTCAGGCTATCAGGATGGGCTACACAGTTGATGGTAAATCTATAATTACTGGGGTGGGCAGGTGTCCAAGTGGTTGTGTAAGCAGGTCCTCATGCCATAACAACATGGTAGTCCTGCCCACGCAGCACCCAGCAGCCAAGGGCAAGCACTAGGGGACCCACAGGCCTTCTAGGGATGACAGCTACCCTAGAGCATCTTCTCTACACCCCAAAACCCCAAGATTGGTTCTGATTTATACCCTCATGCTGATTCTGCTGTCACAGACAGCAAAGCAGCCAACCACAGTGGGAGTGATTTTGGTCTCACTGCTTTTTGACCATGAAACCAGGGCTTGACAGGGTCCAAGGTGAGGCTATGCAGGGAAGTGTGAAAGGCCTCCTGCACCTAACAAGAGGAAGCAGCAGCAGTTTATATTGCCTGGCTGCATCCTTCTCTCTTTCACTCCGTGCCAGTGCTTCAGCTCCATTGGGAAAGAATAATTAAATTTCTTCTTGACGTCCCGTTGCCAGACTGCTGCCACAGCTCCTGTCCGGTTACTGATGAAGGTTAAGGTTGCATCCCAGCTTGCTTGTAGTATGGGGAAGCAGAGCTCTGCTGAGCTGGGGCCACAAGCATGCAGGAGACACATGCATGGGGACTCGTATAACCTCCAAGGGCTTTTGCAGCCTCCTGGGCTGGGCTTTGCTGGCTTCCTCTGAGGAAGGGCGTGGGGAAATGAAGAGAGCTGTTCCTTAGCAGAGGTGGTCTGGAAGGCTGAGCCTGGGCGCAGGCTGGGGCAAGTATCTGTGGAAAGTGTGAGCCTATATCTCTGGCCAAAGTGGAAAATCCTCTGGTCAAGAGACCCCCACACCCAGCTGGGCTTGCAGCTGGAGCATTAGCCAGCTGGCCACGGGGAGCAGTCATGCGTTGGGCCAGTCCTGCTGGCATGAACTGAAGAAGTGTCTTTAAATGTAAGAATGTAAAAGGTCTTTTCTTGTTTTTCCTCATGACTTTATATGTGAAAGCCTAGTGAAACAGGCAGCTGGAAGCTGCACAAATATCTGGCACAAAAGGCCTCGGAGGGCTGCAGCTGGCTGCAAGCTTAGGCTGGAAACATGGAAACTATTCTGCTCTTGGTTGGCGGTGATTTCTGCTCAGATTATGCCGTGCCTCAGACGGGATCTTGCCAGCCCTGCAGTGGGCCTGCCGTAATGAACCAAGTCGCTCTGAGTGATTACGTATCATTATCCTTGCTTGACGTGGAACGAGTAAATAAAACAGTTCAGTATCCTTCCTCTTAAGAAGGTGATGGGGGAAGACTGTTGTGTGACTCTGCTCCCCTCTCCAGCAACTGTGTTCCTGGAGCCATGGAGCAAGTAAACTCGCCAGTGCTGCAAGCACAGCAGTTTGCACTCCAGGAGGCAGAGAGCTGCATTTTTGTGTTTGGCCAGAGCCCATCCTGCCTCTCTGTAGGCAGAAATTTAGCATTTGGATCTTGGATGGCTATTAAGGGAACTGAAAATATTTGCGTTACTAACACATTGCTTATGCTAAGTGCAGCAGCAAGCACAGTGCTTGCAGGAGGCAGGGCGGCCCCTGACCTTGCTGAGCTCCGCAGCACAGCCAGGAGCCAGCTCACAGAGCTGAATGCTGTAGCCTACATTTTTCTTAATTCCTGCTACTTCTCTCACTACATCCTAAGTGGGAATACACGACATGGGACATGTCAATACGTGACATGCTTTACTAGGTGTATGAGTTCATGATTGCTGTGACTGAGCACAGGTTGTCTACTGCAGCCAGCCTCTCTGAGCACGATGGTGTGTTAGCCTGTTAGCCTAATCTAAGCCCTAAAGGCAAAGCAGGAGATGCCTGGAAAATGCCTGTGCAGTTGGTAGAGAGCTGTCTTGTTTTGTAAACCACTGAGCTGTCTGATAGCACTGTTGGGGCAATTCTTGCTGTTTTCCAGAAGCTGCTTTCTCTAGCAACAAGCCCTCAAGGCACATAACCCCACTGTATGCTCGTGGCTGAGTCATTTGGGCCTGGACAGATGAGGAGTAATGGGAAGAAGCTTGAGCAGTTATCAGGGCTTCAGCGTTCTAACTTTACCCTTTTTCCTCTTGCAGGGCCCGGCAGTTACACTGTGGGCACCATGTCGGAGCGCTTTGACTGCTATTACTGCCGTGACCCGCTGCACGGGAAGAAGTACGTGCAGAAGGAGGGCCGCCACTGCTGTGTCAAGTGCTTTGACAAGATCTGTGCCAACACCTGCATTGAGTGCAAGAAACCCATCGGTGCCGACTCCAAGGTACGGTGAGGACTCCCAAAAAACTCATCTTATGGGCAAAGCACTTGGAAACATAGGATTTATATATATATTTTTTTTCAGTTTTTCAAGTGTTTATTGCTTTATGTTTATGGCAATAATAACATACACCTAAGCTAGAAGGAACAAGATGACATGAAAAGACCACACTTATAGAACCTTGAATCTCAAAGCTTGAAGTTTGAAAGTCCAAAGTGAATTTAAACCCCGCATACCTGTAGCAATTTGAATGCGATTATAAGTAAGGCCCTTGTGTCACTGCTTTTGGTTAAATCGCCTTCCCCAGATGCTCACAGCTGAGTTGCACCCCGAAAACACTGAATGCAGCCCTGCTTAAGAACTAGTTTTAGAGCTGCTCAGCAAAAGAAAAGGGCTTATTGCTCACTTTGTTTCTGTTTGTTGCAGGAGCTGCATTTCAAGAACCGTTACTGGCATGACACCTGCTTCAAGTGCTTCAAGTGCTACACATCCTTGGTGAACGAGCCCTTCATGCTAAGGGAGAACAACAAGGTCTGGTGTAGTAACTGCACTGCCACTGAGGATGCACCCAGGTGTAAGGGCTGCTTCAAGCCTATTATTGCAGGTACTGGTACTAGCAATACTGAGATGAATGCTGAGTGCTGTTCTAGGGCAAAACCATGGAGGTTAAAAGAGCTGTGCAGGCTGCAGTTAGGAGCATCACAGTGAAAATCTGGAGAACTACAGAAGTGGCACACGTTTTGACTGCTGCTCTTACCTGTCCTTTTTAGACAAGTATTCAAAGGCTGCATTGCAGTTAACCCTCATGTGGATTGTTCACCTTAATAGTCAGTATTAGGTAAATTCTACCAAAAGCATTGCTCTGCAAATGTAGATCCTCTTCTCAGAAAGGATCGGGTACCTGTCTGACTAAATATCTAAGAAAATCTGGAAGGCCTTGGCTAGTTAAAGTTGGATGTAGAAATTAACAGTGCTTCTCTTGTCCATGTTATGTTTAAAGTCCTGTATGGGCAGGTCTTGCCTACAGGTATGCTACATTGCATGAGGTGGGGAGCTTGTCACAGGCCTGAAATCCCACCTAACAAGTTATTTCTGTCTGTTGTAGGAGACCAAAATGTTGAATACAAGAAGATGGTCTGGCATAAGGACTGTTTCACTTGCAGTCAGTGCAAGCAAGTGATTGGATCTGGGAGTTTCTTCCCGAAGGGTGATGACTTCTACTGTGTCTCCTGCCACGAGCATAAATTTGCCAAGACCTGTGCTAAATGCAAGAATGTAAGTCCTTCCACTTGCAGGGGCAGGTACCTAGAACTGGCCCTGACACGTCTGTTAGAAGCTAGGAGAGTAAACCACCAGACAGATCATCTTGTAGCTGTACCATTGCTTATGTTTCTTCCTTGAGATACTGGTGCAAGCAGCTGGTAACGTAATAATGTGAGAACTAGAGGCTGTGGCACATGAGTACTTGAGTTGGGTGTAAATCTGCTGAAACAAAGTGAGCACAGCCATATGCTAGCTTTAGGGAGGGCAAGGCTAAGAAGGCTTATAGCTCTCTAGCATGTATTGTGTATTCAAGCTACAAAACAATGTTTTGCAAAACAGCTGTTGTACACTTTTGCAATTGATTAATGTAGAATTGCAGTGTCATTGCAGGTAAAATAAACTCTTATGAAAGCTCCAGGCATGCAAGACTTCAGTCCAAAGGAACTTAAGTGTTGCAATGTTTCATTTTAATGAAAACTTTCAAATGATCTTCACCATAATAAAGCTCTCCTATACCATACACCCCATACCTGTGTCACCTCTTTTCTTCCGTACTGATTCTGAATTCTCTTCCCTGCTCTTTTCCTCCTAGCCCATCACTTCTGGAGGTCTCACTTACCAGGAACAGCCTTGGCATTCAGAGTGCTTCATTTGCTCCAACTGCAAGAAGCAATTGGGTGGGAAGCGCTTCACAGCCGTAGAGGATCAGTTTTACTGTGTTGAGTGCTACAAGGAATGTGTTGCCAAGAAGTGTGCTGGCTGCAAGAATCCTATTACAGGTATGTTGCAATAAATGCAGCTTGAGGGTGCTGGGTGCTTAAGGTCAGAACTGTGATCCCCAGAGATGCAGCTCAGAGGCCACCAACACCAGAAGCAGTTCAAATATCCCTAGCCCTTTTCCAACAATTTATATAACCCATGTGCTGTTGGATGGAGGCTGAATTAGTAACTGAGCTCTTAACCTTTTGAACTCCTCAAATTTACCTCCAGAATTGTCCCAGGTAGAACTGTTCCCACTTCAATCTTAGTCTGGGAACTGGAAGTCTAAAAAGAGCAGTGTCATATTGCCCTAAACTGACAATTTGTTTTACTTCTAATATATTTTACATGCCCCAGTTAGTGACTGCATATGAAAATCGGCTCTGAAATGTGCATTATCCTGCTAGTCCTGTAAGTCTTGCATTTGATTCAGCATTTCAGAGCATAGATCTGAGCTTGTAAGAACAAGGTAGGCTGTTTAGCCCAACCTCTTCTTGCTCTGTCTTGACCTTTCCATTAGCTTGACTGTTCCCTGGGAAAAAGATCCAAGGGAAAAGCTTGTTGTAGACAAGCCGCACATACCTATGCTAAACTGCCTGGATCTCTCTAATACAGAGCAGCAAACAGTGCAGTTCAGTTGCATTTTGGGCTAGTATTTTAAATGTTACAAATACGGTCACACGGGAGGCAGAAAGAATGGGATCTGCTGCTTGATGGACTAACCCAGCCACGGGAAAAGCTACTATCGCCGTCCTATAATTGTTTTCTCTCCTAGCAGGATTTGGAAGAGGAACCAGTGTGGTTAACTATGAAGATGAATCCTGGCACGATTATTGTTTCAAATGCACAAAGTGTGCCCGTGGTCTGGCCAACAAGCGCTTTGTTTGCCATAATGGAAAAATTTACTGTGCTGAGTGTCCCAAACGACTGTAAGGAGCAGACAGCAACTACTATAAAATGGATTTTAAAGGCCTGCTTTTCAAAATAGTCCTGGTAAAGGTGCAGGTTTTGCATGTTAAGAATTTTACCTTTTTCTGTTTGAGCATAAAACAGACTAAAATAGCCTAAATATACCAGGTTTAACTTTTGAAGCTCCTGCAGCAAGAAAGCATGTACTGTTGCAAAAAGCTAACTTTGCTTTCAAGTAACTATTGGTGTAAAGGCCTGAAACGCCATTTAGATTTAGCATTAGAATTCCAAGTAGTAGTACCCTAATCTGTGTGTGTCTTAAACTAAAAAAAAAAAAAAAAAAGCTAATTTTAAACTTTAGTATACATTTAAGCTCAGAACTTACAATGAAGTGTTTTTAACAAGGCATGCACAAGCCTCGGCACCTTGGAACAGAGATGCAAACATTGCACCCAGGATCAGAGAGATCCATTATTATGCTTTTACAAGTACAGGTACATATATATCACACCATTAACAGAAACTCAATATTAACTTTGCTTATCTTACCATACCAAATTGCAACAAGTGTATGGAGTGGCTTTCTCTTACATATAACAACATTTTGGCAGTACAACTTAGCTTTAGTTAAGTTTCCATAAACTTGTTTTGGTTATGATTTTTGCATGGTTTGTCAAAAGTTTTGCTCACTAGCTTTTTTTACACTATTGTTTAAATGAGGCCATCTACATATAATTATTAATCCATTAATAAGTAGAAAATCTTTCAACTACAGCAAAATGCACATGCATTTAGAAGTGCCTTAAAAATAGCTCTGATGACCATAGCTCTCCTATCATGTCAGTATATGTTTCATGATTTAATAAAAATGAGACTAGTGCCTGCTTGGAGTCCTACAGTCTGCAAAACTGTTTTTTTTTCTATTTTTCTAGTCTTACCTGATTGACAGCATTTATGGCTGAGCTACTGCAATCAAGTCTGATACCTTGATACACTGAAGTAGAGAGCCAGCTTTTCTGCCATAGTGTCATTAAATACATAAGGACCAAAGCAAAAATTTACATAAACTAAAAAAAATACATAACTGACACTAGACCATCTGCCAAGAACAACCTGTGTGGAAAAAAAACCCTTTGGAGAACACATATACAGCAACAGTCCATACACAGTCTACTACCCTTCAGTGACCTGAATGCTGGTTTAAAGTGTTGGTTTTTTCCTCCATAGCAATGATAATACCATAAAGAAATATTTATAAACTGGATGCTACTACACTCATTCCCTTTCATTCACAAACACCTACCAGGAACAGCGAAATCTCTCAGGATAAATAGACCTTGCTGTTTTTGTGATGGTTGCTGCTCCACAATGGCCACAGAACACTTCTAGACTCACTGTTAGAACATAAAGATGCTGGTGCTACAAGTAAAAGGCAAAGGCTTGCAGTAAAAAGCAAGTTAAAGAATTCAACAGTTATGAAAAATCTTATACAAACACAGCAAAACCTAAAGGTGTTAGTACAAGTACCTTTCCAACCATATAAATGCAACTGCCAACGAGGCTACTAGTTTCGGGACTCTGCAGTGTGGAGTAGTTAGAGAGCAGTACCAGAGCGCATCTCAACACGGCAAGGGGTTGGAGGCTCCTAGTAAGGTAATGTTTAGCATTACAGAAATAAAGCATTGTTCAACTGCAAAGTTTATTTAACAGTGCGCACATATTTACATAGAGCTGTAACAGACCATTCGACAAATAATATCAGCACAGAAAAAAATATCAGCATCTTTGTTAGAGTGATTGTCTCTGCCTGAAATAACTATCATACAAAAATACATTTTTCTTTTTACCTAAGGCACTGCTCTAAAGTCTAAAACAGTTCTAACATATTCTGAAAAGCAAACAGTGAGAGCAAGAAGGCTGAGGGTTTCCTATTGCAATTGCAGATGTCAAGAAAAGAATGCAGTTCCAGCAAATACATTTGCATTTAACCACTTTAAATTCAGCTGCCATTTGGATGATTCATTTTAATTTAACTATCAGTCAATGGTTTATAGCAAGATTTGAGACAGCTATTCTTTAAATTAATCACTTATTTAGTATATCTATTACAGGAGACTTAAGAACAAGACTGCAGTATTACTTTTAGTAGCAGTTTTCAGAAGATGCTTAGTTAATCTCTTCATGCTGTAAAAAGCAGGCAAGTTTAGGTTAAACAGATTACTTAATACAGGCTTCGGGGAAGGGAAATATATATATATATGCAGCTTGCAGTCTGTTATAAAGCTAGAACAGGAACACTTAGAATAATTAACAGTAACATGAACAAAACACGACTTCAATGGTCTAATACTGTTATGTACACAATAAAATAATACTTACATGAGTGTAGATAAATAAATCAGAAGGAAAACATTTTTAAAAGCATGACATGTTGAACTGCACTATGACAAACAAATCTAGGTATTCAACATTTTTTGTAATATTAGTGCATATCCTGTAAAATGTTTTGCTGTTTTCCAATAGATTAAAACATGTGATGACACAACGTTGCATTTTGAAACTTTTGAAATTTCAACATTTTTGAAATATTTTGAAACTTGATGTTGGAAAATACAAATTTTTCCTTCTCAATTCAAAGCTGAAGATACTCAATTTTGCATTTAAAAAATCGCACGTGAATGAAAGTGTACAGCTTTTTTCTAGGACATTACAAATGAACTTGAGCTTTAACACGCACTAAAAAAGTCTTATTTCATCAAGTGCCATTTTAGGAATATCTAAAATCTGACCAGTAGCAAACTGGAAAGTCTGCAGTGGCACATTGCTGTACATTACTGGTATGAAAACAAAAAAAGACTTAAGTTAGCGTAAAGTCTGTCAGAGGGAAGTAAGTAATATTTAGACAAGGAAATCCTATCCAACAATTAACTAAACAAATGGAAAAGGAACATCAGCACAATAGTCTCCCTGAAATGTTTCAAGGTGCAAATCTAGAAGTTTGTCATCCCTCCCCTGATGTGTTTTTGTTTTTTTTTTTTTCAAACTTGAAGATGGATAAAGGTAAACAAGCAGCTTTTCAAAACAAGGCCTTCGGTACTTGATAAAACACTGGATTACTGCAGTGCAATCAGATTATTTCCAGGTCTCTAGTGTTCACAGTTCTGTCCAGAGAGCAAAGAAAAGAAAATATTTAACCATCATACTGCATGTATTCTACATACATCTATCATCACTGTCAGAGTCTATGTGTGAGGGGGTGCGCACAGACCCACTTAGTAACTCACAGTCCAAAATCAGCATAGTAGGTTGTTTTTTTTTTTGTTTTTTTTTTTTTTTAAATATGAGCACTTGTTTCCAGAGTTGCATGTTGCATACACAATTCTTAAAACGGATTATCTCAAACCACATTTACGTTCAAAATTAAAGGCAACTCTTTCTTCACTAAGGAGTGAATGATCAGAAAAAAAATGTGATCAGCAATATCACATTAAATCATTTTATTCCCACAGCCTACACAGTAGTGGCCTGGAGGAAAGTCTCAATATAACTATGTCCGTAAGACCAAAACTCACAAGACGCAGAGTGACAGAGGAGACTCAGGAAACAGTTCAGTCTAGAAAAGTGCTATACTTTAATCAAAAAAGGTGCTACACATCACTTAAAGAAAATGTGGATAGCAAGTCTTGTTTTTTCCCCACTGTCATTTATTTCAACTCTTCACGCAGTCATTTATCTCGTGGACAGAGATCTCCTGCTGTGAGTACGCTCATTTGGGGTTTAGCTATGACAACAGAGCAGTTTAGTCTTATGAAAACTAGCATGCTGAAGCCTCTCTGACACACTGTGCTGTACTGCATCAGGGCCTGGGTTGTCAAGTACGTTTGGCTTCAGATGCAACCCTGTTTCTTTCAGAAAATTCTGAGTATTGTGTATGTAGCTTTATTACTCCTCCCAAAATGCAATACAACCGTTGGTGGAATTTAAGGTTGGTGTTACACCCATCAGTGAAGTGAAAGACTATTCTATGGTAAGTATAGAGGACAGCTAATATCTTGCCAGAGCCTGAAAGACCTTTTAAGACCATGCAGATCAGCATCAAAAAGTTACAGAACATGCCTAGGAGTAGAAAGGGGAAAACAGCCAGGTCTTGTCTGTAGAGTTACATCAGACACCTTTTAAAGTGTTAGTATCTTCAAAAGTAACGTGCCATTTAAGACGTTTTAGAAGAAGCCTAAAATACAACAGATGGGCTTGAGTGCTGATAGGAGAAACAGGAGCTTCACAGGGGCTCAGCTGTGTCTTTGGAAGAGCCTTGATGTCAGGCCTGAGCTGCTATATAGAGCAAATCCCTAGAAAGGCATCAGTTGGTGACTCCTTTTGACAGAATTCAAGTTACAAGCACTAAAGAAGGAGCTTTTCCTCCAGTCTACACATTGGAAAATGTGCCTTGAAAATAAGAAGCTGAAGTTAAGGCAAGGAGAATAAAAATGCAACAAAGTTAATTATCCAGCCAGAGGAGGGGATAGATAGGGAAATCAGCTTGGATTACCTGATGAAGAATCTATAGGTTTGGTCAAAGAATTCACTGCACCATCTTCCTCATAAGCCAATTTGGGACTAGAAGGTATTGTAGCAGCATCATTCAAGTTTTGATTACAGTTATCAGCAGAGAGACTGTCTGAACTCAGTTTTGTTGACCTGGAATGTACTCCAACGTCAATAAACTCCTCAAAAGTCCATGAATCAGATTTTCCATTAAGATTCTGAATAAGTCCACTTGTATGATCAGCTTCATTAACACCCAACTTCACTGAGTCATCAATAACCATTTCTTTTGCAGGATGGCTGGAAAAAGCAAATGGATACTAGTATTACAATTTCTGGATATTTACTCTTTAGATTTATTACAGGCCAGCTGAATTAGCAGTCTACACAGCTTGCAAAGCAATGCATATTCTGAAGGGCATCCCTAGACGAGCTCCTCCAGCTGCCACATGGGATCTCCCATCCAAGAGCCAGTGGCGAAGAACGACCCACCAGCATGTAACAACTTTTTACTATACTAATAACTATCAGGTAAGGTCTGGCTCCAGAAATGATATGAAGAACCAGCAAGTTTAAAGAAGCCCTCCTCTATTAATTTTAGCACTGTGCATTTCTCCTCTTACTTAAAAAAAAAAAAAAGTTTGCAATGTCATTTCTAAACCTTTAGCATTTAGATGAGCAAATGGAACTAGCATGAGAGGACACGTTTTCCACTATTACATAGGAATAACTTTACGTTTAAAGAGATAAAATTTGAAACACCAAAAAAATCCCATTAAGGGAGGTTTCTGTGTTTTATCTGCTGTTTCAGCACAACTAGAATTGTTCTAGAACTTCCTGTAGGTTATTCTTCCTTTTCAGTTTCATCCCCGCTTCTCCTTGTTGAATATTTTGTTAATGAAAAGAACTGCTAGCTATTTCAATGGAAAAAGTTTTCAAGTCAATACCATTCTTTACAAGTAACACTGCGATGTTGCTGACTATGTGTATCACTTAGCAAAGCCTGTACTGTCAACATGGTGTCATCTAAACGATCAGTTACTCTGAGCTAACTGACTCTGCATGAGCCTGCAAACTGACAGCATGTACATACCATGTGCTTAGAGCAAGCCAGAGAAATACCAGAAAACTAGTGGGGTACAAAATTTGATCCAGTGCTACATACAGTAGTAAATTGAATTTAAACACAGAGGGATTTCTTGTGTAACAGATAACTGCTTTGACAATAAAACAGCCACCTACACAGACTCACCTGGAATCCTTTAATTCAGTAAAGAGTAGAGATCCGTCATCGTTTTTCAAATCGCTCCCATTCATAAATACTTCATTGGCCTTCAACTCTGACACGTCTTGTTGCTCAAATTCTGTAGAGATCAAGCTATGTGCAGTCTGTAAACAGCCCTCTGTCTCCCCCTTGACTTCCTGGGGTAAGTCAATGCCATTTAGTTTTCCTGGAAGTATGAAGGAAAAAACAAAAACAGAGCTTCAGTAACAGATATGCTGTTCTAAATGAATAAAATACGAGTGTCAAAATGACCTTTCCTAGCCAAAATTTGATGCATTCTCATTCTGTAGAGAAATTAATCTAAAGACAAGCTATAACAACATGATTTTTGTTTTTCACCTTCAAAATACATTTGTAAAAAGAAAACATGCTGCCTGCATTTCATACACAAATCATTTTGCATTTAATAATTTTGAATAGCTTCTATTATAAGGATTATTATATTAATATTACAACATTAATAATATATTAATTACATGTTATAGTATTATTATCATAATATTATTAGATATATATTATTATAAGGATTATTCTATTATAACTAGCAACTATGTACTCTATTTAAGCAGAGATTGTGACATTTCTGGAATTTGTGTCTCAGTTCATCACAATGCTATACACTGAGTGACATTTTAACACTGCCAAAACAACACTGAGACACTGGCAGCAACTTAGATCTGACTCATCAAATTTCCTTACCTGATTGATTGGTCTTCTCAAGTCCCAACTCTTCCTCCTCTTCAATGTCTTCTCCCTCGATAACCTCAGACGCAGACTTCCCTTCATTCTGCAACTGAATTCGGGAAGTGTTATTCACAATTGCTTGCTTATTCACAATTGCTTGCATTTCAAGGCATTTCAGAAATGGTTCAATCCTAGCCCTCATGCTAGTCCAAAGCCCAAGAAGAATGGGTAATTTTAAAAAAAATCATTACCAATCAGTAGGTTTTGGAATTGATCTGCAAGTGGTAATGCCAGATCATATTGTTTCTATATGCCTAGAACAAAAATGCAAAGACATTTGGTCTGAACAAGCAATGCAGAAGAATGTATGTCATGGAAAGCTACTGAACATTATTCTAGTGTGCCAGAACTTCTACCCTCATACGGAAGCCAGTTTGTTCAAAGATAACAGAGGAACATAGGGTACAAGACAAGGCCTTCTCTGGGAAAGGTCATTCCACAGATCTAAGAAAACAAGTACCTTGGATTCGTTTTGATCCGATTTTCGTGTTCTTTTCATTATTTCTTCAATTCTCTGTTAAAATGGGGAAAATATTTGCAATGACAGAATTTTATGTTTCAGCATTCTGGTTTAAATGTTCATCACATAAGTTATATATTTAATAAATTTACTACTTTATTCACTGTTGTTAAAGCTCACAAGCCAGAGCTAGCTTTAAAAAAACTACTACTTCTATTTAAATGCACCTGAGACAGTCTGCCGGCTCAGTTTAATACTAACACTTCAACAACTACTTTAGGCTGAGAAACCTTTCTGCTTTCAAAACAGCGTACCTTTTTTCTTTCAAGCCTTTCCTGCATATTTTGCTGCATAATTCTCTCCCTTTCCAGCCGCTGTCTTTCAGCCTCTTCTTGAGCTTTTGCTTCAGCTTCTTCTCTCTGAAAACAAAGCAAGGCCAAAAAAAAAAAAAAAAAAGGTAAAGAAAAAGATCATCTTATGCACAACTCACTTCCAAGAGCTAAAAGCAGAGCCATTACAGATTCTGGTTTAAGATAGACAGGAGTGGCAGACAATCGCTATTTAATAGTACCATGCATTGCAGCTAAATGCCAATGATACAGTTACTGAAATGAAATTTATATTACTATGACATTTAAAAACTGACTTGAAAAGAATTGCAATTCTTTATTATGATTATGCAAATCTTCTGGATGTTGTTTAGCTAGTCAGAGTTCAAACTGTACTTCAGGATGAGGTTTTTCTAAGAAGGATAATTTATGAAGTAACAGGACAGCAACTGAATTCTGTATGTTTCAAGGTTAATTTAAAAATCTTGGCAGTGAGGTATACTCTGCAAGATACTCTGTGCTGAGCATCTTCTGTTCCTTCTACACTGGAAAATCTTTTCCACTATGACTGGAAAGAAAATAAAAGCATATGACAATTACTTAGAGTGTTGACTACACTTAAGCAAGCTTTTAAAGATATGTTCAGAGACACATTTCAATGCTGTCCATAAGATACAACTCTTTAAACACAAATCACTTCATTGTAAAGCTGCCTTGATTTTCAAAATTAATCTCATTTAAAGAAAGTCCACTTTCTTCAAAACAGTTTCCTTCGCTTAGAAAGACGCCTTTGGAAAGGTACACGTACATTAGTTGTGGAAGACTATCTAGCAACTGGAAAAGCAGACTTGGAAACACTACCAATCTTTCTTTTTGCTCATATGGAATCAGAGGAGGCTGGATGACTTTCCAAACGACCGTTTTCTTATAATCCACAGCAGTACAGTGGTAAAGTGGTCTCAGTACAAATACTTTTGTGTGTGCAAAGTAACCTGCCAGATGGCTAAAAAAAATTTTTTGAAAACTTCTAAAATATCTGCCTCTGTCCCACACTTGAATTCATCAAATGTGGGAAGAAAACACATACAACACTAGGACAAGTAAGAACTGCAAGATATTCTTTAAACCAATCTCCTGTCACGGACAAGATGAACTCTACTTTATATCATTCCTCACAGAGATTTGTCAAAACTGTTCTATGAAAGAAAATAAAAGACAACCCTCTCAAAAACATGTCAGCAGCTTTGTACAAGGAACACAGTTAGAATCGTACAAATAAAAAGACCTGCTGTTGAAGCTCTGCAAGTTTTTCCTGCTCTTCTTGTTCTCGACGGATTCTTTCCTCTTCAGCTTGTCTTTGCTGTTCTTCATAAGCCACTCTCTTTTCTTCCTCCTGTTTGCGGAGCTCCTCTTCCCGTCGTGCTTTTTCTTCAACTGCTCTCTTGGCCATTTCTTGTTCTCTGATTCTAGTGTTTCCAAGATACAGATTACTGACTGGACATTCCCTCCTTTAAAAGTGTGCATGCATGTGAGGCAGACTAGGAAAGCAAGAAAGTTTTCAGTTTGTCCATCATAGAATAATTGCATAATGATACTTTCTGGTGTGGAATTACAAATGCCACCATCCAGACCAGTATAAGGAAAAAGCAGAATAACTTGAAAGAAACTATCTATACACTTAAATGTTCTTTGCTGATTAAGACAAGTCCAAAGCCAGCTTTTCCAATAATGGAATGTCTGATTGAGAACTGGATTAAGAGAGAACTATTTAATAAATACCACCTGCATCCAAAACACGAATGAAGCTCTCAATCACTGATAAACAAATTTCGTCAAGTTTTCTAAAACACTTTTTCTTCTATAGTCCTAGTTCCAGAAATATACTAGAGGTGTTTCACTGCAAGATCATGCAGATGTACAAATCTAATCCAATAAGGGCGTGATGTATTTCTGATCTGTAGCAGATTCTATTAAAGTTCATGACAGCTTAATACCCAGTGAGCAGAAAACAGACAAAATCTGATACTCCATAGTGTACAGAGAAGCTTAGACAGGACCTTATGCAGACTTTACTCTATGACCTGGAGTAAAGATGGTCAGCACAAAATTGTTATTGTTAACAACTTCTTTGTGATGAACCAAATGTATACTGATTTATTGCTTTGAATTATTTAGCTACTACATTTCTGATCCAGATTTGGGATCACTAAAATGAGATTTAATGTACTCACTTTCTGAGTTCACTGAAGTAAAGTTTCATACAGAGAGGCTGAATATTTCAAGACAACAAATATAAATGGCGTAAAAACACATTTTAGATTTGAAGTAAAAGCAGTACTGGTGACTGTTAGGAAAAGGAAGCAGTGATTTGCACTGTGACCATGCATTACATATATACTGAGGTATAGATTAATGATATACACAGCAATTTGTCCTACCTCAAGTTTAATGCTTAGGAAAACGTAAAACTGAAGTGTCCATTTCAACCACACCCACCAAAGAAAACATTTCCTTCTCCTGAACTGTTACCTTTCCTCTTCCTCTCTCTGAATTCTTTCTTGGTCTTCCCGCTCTCTTTGCTCTCGTGCCAGACGTCGTTTCTCTGCCAAGATTTTAGCAGCTTCTTCAGCTGTGGTGGTCCCTGCTACTGCTTTGCTACCTGATTCTGCAACGTTTAAAAGAAAATTGCTGTTAAAAAGACCTAGCAACTTAAAATGAAGAAAGACGTTTTAACTGTGAGATTTTTTTCTTGGCCAACCAACCCACTACATTTTTAGATCAGCACTCATCACTCAGTAAGTATACTGTGTATAGAGGCCCACAAGAGCCAAAGGGCAGTCCTAATGAGAAGGCGGCAGCGCACCAACATCTCCCTAACACTGAGATAACAGATCATTGCAACTACAGCATTCCAGCCATGTTTCAGACAATACAGTTTAATGGTATTCTCCAATTACCATGGAACTTAAAAATGTATTTCTAAAAAGATATTTTCATTCTAATACAATTAGAAACGCTTAAAAGAAAATTGAAGAAATACTGCTTCAGGAAATACACTTAACTTCCTTCTAATAAAACTGAATGCATATCCGTGATTATAAAGAGGAAATGTGAAACAAGAGAAGTTTTAAAACGAATAACATTAACGCCTTCATATTTATAGGGTATCTTTGGATGCAAATAATCACCTATTTAATTTGGCCTTGAAGGCACATACTAAAGCCTTCAGCAGTATCATATTTTAGCAAAAAATCATTCTCCAGTTTACATAGAGATTAAACCAGCCCCAGCCACCAGGTTAGTAGACATTTATATAGCCCTGCAGTTTTTGTTTGTTCACCCTGCCTGGTGTTATGAACCTCAGAGATACTATTATAAATAAATAAATATATTATAAATATAATAATATATTATAAATATAACTATATTTTAAATAAATAAATAAAAATCCCTTGCCATCCAGTTGCTCTCAATATATATTGAAATAACTATGATTTTTACCAGTTATTCCCACTCTCTAGAATTAACACTGTTCCACCATTACTAGAGGTCATCTGAATATTCACCCTTGGTGTCAGTAGAGCAACAGAACCGTAACATTGGTCAGGATGCGTCTTTCTTCTTTTTAATATCTCACAAATTAGCACATATATGTTTGCTTAAGTTTTAGAAAGCCTTCAAGCCAAGTTAATTTTCATGAACACTGACATCAGGGTTTTATCCGTTATTTTGCTTCCAACCTAAAGAAAAGTCATTCAAAACACAATGCCATCATTAGGCACTTTAATACCTGAAAATCTGTTTAAATCCTGTGGACACGTAATCGCTACCTGCAGCTATAGGCCATAATTCACTGAGTACACTCTTAATTGCAGAATCATAGTAGTGCTTTGTGCATAAAAATTTTTCTTGCAGCCCCAGGAAAAGGATTACAGCACTGACAGAGAGCAGTCACAGTAAAGTTTTCTGATAGTTAGGTTTACCCAACGTTGAAACTGAAGCTCCTCCTCAGAATGCACATTGCATCTTATTTGGGCAAAAATACAGTTATGTCGGTACAAACAGGAATCCAACCACGATGCTTCTAAATCTGAGCTCTGCCAAAAGGGAACCTCCTCCACCTCCTCCTCAAGTACGAAAGATCGGCTCCTTGCAGTTGTGAGAACTATTAGCAGAATCTGCCTACTCAAGAGTTGCATGAACTAAGTGTTCTTCTTTCTATATTCTGCAAATTTTTCATTTAAAGGGGGGAGGCAACATTTAATGTTGCCAGTATATAACCATAAAGAAAATCAAAATGGCTCTCTTCTCCTTTGCCACCCAAGTGTCTTGGCAGTTTAAACTAGACACTTTTTACATCAAAGGCCATCTTCCATTATGCACAGCAACCAGCACAGCACCCCTATTTTGACACTACAGGAATCTCAATGATATCAAAATTGGTTGATTTAACTCTTTCCCCCATCAAAACTGAATCTAAAACAGATAAATTAGTTCTCAGCAAGAAGCCTAACAGCTTTAGGCTTTTCAGGTATAGGTTTTAGGATTATAACATGGTAATAACATGGTAATAAGAGCTTGAAATACTATGAATATCTGGTATCAAAAATGATAGAAAATTAGTCAAAAAAATATTCAGAATACCACAGATATGGAAAGAACAGGGGGAGCATAAAAGCAAAAAGTATAGCAGACCTCAAGTCTATGAAAGATCTTTCTATTGCATTTTAACTGCTGAAACACAATTCCCATATGGTTACTTCAAGTGCTTTCATGCCCATGTGCCCTTTGTAGTTTGTTTCCATAGGGCTGGACATGGGACTTCCCAACATGATGGCTAACATGCCTTAACAATATTATTCTACAGTTTTATACTCAGCTCCATTTTCATTGTACTCCCACCTGTCATTATTGTCTCTTTTCTGTCATTTTCATGATAGAAAGGTGAAGAGGGAAACAGGTGAGAGAGCTGTCTCAGAACATTTGTAAAATGCCTCTAAAGGACTAATAGCTTATCTGCCGATCTTACTTAGTTCTAGCTTGTGGTTTAAGAGCAAAGAGGTGCTTTTAAGATTCTTGCAGCCATTAGGAATATGGACTGCTCGAAGTAGTTCCTCTCCAGCAGTATTATCCTGCCAGCGAAGTAGAAAGGATGCAGGAAACCTGTAACTTAAGAAGAGGGGGAAGTTGAATCTCCTCCTCTTCTCCCATTAATCAGGACTTTTTTTTTTAACAAGGTGAAAAGAATACTACACAGATCTACTATGTGAGGAGAATCTGGTGTCAGTTCATTACTGGACCATTATTTTCTAGCCTGACAACAAGAGCACAAATGTGTTTGTGTTGTACTATTAGTTGGAGACATGGAGGATTCCAGATCATTTCAAGGCAAGTCATGTATTCACAGTTAATCTAGGAATCATATTCCAAAGCCTTCACTATTTAGATAGAAAAGAAGCGAGGCTCCATGATAGTTTATTACCTATCATCATGCATAAGGTGAGAGCTCATGAAGGAGCACTTATGCTTAAAGTTGAAACAAGCCTTTTAACTCTCAAAGAAGCTGCGAAAGGCTGCTGCCAGAAATGACAACTGCTCCGAGTCACTGAAAAATAAGAAAGTGTTTTACTGCAGAACAGTGTATTTTAGTATGAAGACACAAAGAGCAAGACAAAGACTTGATTGCTGTCTGTCAGCAACAGGCAATCAAGCTTAGTTTGAGGGTGAAGAGATGGTATGAAGACAGAAGTACACAAAGCTGAAATTAGGTTGAACCTACAAGACCTGGAGACTGATTTGCCATATGCCATTGGTGTGCTTTGATTTCAGAAGCTGCCTGAAATATGGTATTGCACCAACCCACAAGGTAAACTGTCTACACAGATGTCCATCATTAGTTCCTTTTCTTCATTATCTATTGCACACACTGTGAAAAGTGAAAGCAACTTTTTTTTTTTTTAATAAGAGCAAAGATTTTGCCTCTCTTGGCAATATTGCATCGTACCAAGACATTGAAAAAGATAAACCAAATCATCTCTAGGTTGAAGAACATGGCCACAATTTCCTCATATGTGCCAAAGATGAAGAGCTTCACCCAGTCCCATTACAAACCACTACAGAGATGTCTAGCTCGGAGATTAGCAATTAAATAAAATGGAAACTGATAAACTGGGCTAATACAGCTCCAGAAATCAGTGCAGACAGGAGACAGGTGAAGCATCCAAGGAACAAGGACAGGTGTTCTTATTCCAGAACTGGAAGATACAGGAATAGGACATGTTATAGAGGTTTCAACCAACTGCTGACACTATTAACAATTGATTATGCCCTCTCTGAGGCATGCAAGACATTTATCACAGTGTGCATCGAGAGATGGACATTCTGACTGCAAAGATGAATGACGTGACACTGAAGACGCATATGCAACTCATTGACATTTGACTACAATATCTGAGCTTCCTTCTACAGGAACATATGCTCAAAGAACTGTACCATAAATGAGTTCTTCAGATGACTAATAGTATTTCACATCCAACATCACATAATGTCAGGAAGTGTCTCAAAAATCACAGACAACTGTAGCAGCTGAGGAATGCACAACAGGAACTGTACATGCAGTAACGTGCAGCAAGCATATGTTCCCACTTACCTATTTCTGAAGGATTTTCACCCTCAGTACTGCCCATTGGCTGTAGTTTAAACTCCAGAGATCCCACCTTTTCCTCTTAAGTCTCCCCTAAGTCCTTCTCCACAGAGTAATGCCTGTAAGACCTCATTAGAAGGCTCTCCCAGACTCTGTTCTGGAGATGGCACATGGTGTTCTTCCAGTAAGAGGGACAGAGGCTGTGCTTACTTGGCACAATGAAAAGGACTAGGAGACTAACTGTTTATCCAGTATACGGCTCTCCTTAATCTACCACAGTAATTTCTCAGCATGACACATTCACTTTTTCCCTGAGGCAGCATGTTCACTGGAATCCAGACTGAGGCAGCCTCCTAGCTTTGTGAGAACTGGCTTTCAGACAGAGATGTACCAATAGTTGATTTATTCCCACAAGCAGGTTTCTACACAAGCAATTATAAGAACTATTGAATGCACTGGAAGACCTTTGTATAGTTTAACTATTGACTTTGCAAGCCTCAAGCTAACAGATCTCTCAACATCCTGAAGTCCAGAAGGCAAACAGGATTTCTATTTTTCTTAAGGTTATAGTACAACCAATAATATTGAAAGCTCCTGACTTAAGTCTTCAATAATCAAGTTGAATAAACCAACTATTGCACTAAAATCCACTACCACATAAAACTACTATATAAGTAATCATGTAATCACTATATAAGCTTCCACCTTATAGCATCCTAATCTCCAGTGGTCTGCCTCATGAATGAATTATTTTATCAGTTCTAGTATATGCTGGAGATCTCTTGAATAAGAGTTTCAGTCATGGAGATGCACTCACCTTCTTTGGTCTTCGTGCTAGCTGCTACTGCATCCCTGTCCAAGGCTGGTGAAGCACCTTGCTCTTGTCCCATTCCTTCTGTGCTCTTTTCCTTTGGTTTGCTCTCTGCTTCACTTTTCTTTTTGGTAATGTTTATAACACCTGGTATGAGAGGTGGACGTTGGATGGGTGCTGGTTTAGAGATCAGAGTAGGAGATGGTGGCCTTTGTTTTGATATACTAGGTGAAGGTGGGCGAGTCTTTTGTCTGCTGAAGTAAAGAATATTTTTCAGGGATATCAGCAAAAAACTCAAATACACAACAGAGGACAATGGTCTAGTTTGTACTATGCACCTTGGTTTTAAAAATAAATACATACACAAATACTGCTACCTTTCTCATTAACCTTAAACAGAGGATTCTGAAATACCCTGGGCACCTGGGCTCCTTACTAATGGACTAACATCCAAGCATGTCTTTTAGATCAGTTCTGCTTTTACTCCATGTCAAGGATAAACCTTGTGATTCCAGTCTAAGGAATTCCTACCATAATACAGGTAGATTGACTTCTTCAGAAGCTTGCATGCTTCCCATTGGTTTCAGTGTAAAGATCATACAAAAAAACAGAAGTAGTTTGTCTGCACAAAGGAGACAAAGGCTTAAGTAAGTGCTGCATTCCTCAACGTGCAAAAAAAGAGAAATCAGACCACAAGTGAAATCCTTGTGTATATCAACACGGTGTAGCATAGGCCATCTGAATTCTAACAGCACAGCTTTCTTTGAGACAGAAAGCAGCCTTCATTTTGTTCTGAATAAGCTATTTAACCAGGACACATACCTAACTGTAGAAGGTGATGGAGGACGCTTCACCAAATTAGCAGGAGAAGGGGATCTTCTACGGGCAGACACGGATGGTGAGGGAGGGCGTCTTAACCCAGAACCTGGGGATGGTTTTTCCACCTCTGATTTCTAAGAAGATATGTAATAATAAAATAATGCTCACTCTAGGATACATTAAAGACAGGGTAGCTGCTACCACAACAAACATACAACTCCTCAAAAACATGAACTTCACATTTCCTTTATGTTCCAAAATACAGACCCAGTCATTATGTTACCTAAATGAAACTTTAGGAACCATAAGCAGAAAACAGCTTGCCATTAAGATACCAGAGAGACCAAGGATCATAAAATTTCAATTCTATTTCAATACTGTATTTTTGAAGCACGCACTATCAGACATCTCAATAACAAAGCACATAAACAAATCCTGAACTGTTCCAAACCCCCAGATTAATACAAACCTAATTCCTGTGGATTTTGAACAAACCTGGGTTGAATCTGGTGAACTTGCATCAGATGAAGGTACAGAGGGCTTCAATCTGTCGATGCTACGACTGCGCACGGGCACTTTAGGAGTTGGGACTGGGGAACTGATGGAACTGGCTGAAGCTGAACGAGGACAGAGGTGAGATTCTATAAAAGTTAGGAATTTGACAAGACAAAACAAGAACCAAGTGCACAGCATAGGAATAGGAGAAAAGAGGGAAAAAGAGAGAAAGAAAGATTGTGTGTGTTAGAAACCATACAGAGAAACATCACAGGAAGTGCACATTGCAATGGGTCATGGACACAGACACCACCACCACACGATTAGTACTTTGGAAGCAACAGCACTAAGAATAAAACCATTCTGAAAGCAGAGTCTGAAGTAGATAAAAATAAAATGCTTTTCCAAACATTGCCTGATTTTGCAATACACCAGTATTTCAGTCAAGATGCATCTCATCACAAATACTTCAGAACAGTTTTAATGGCTTAGCATGATTCTTTACAGATTCTTCATTCAAATTTTAAGTACATTCCCCCCATACTCATGGAGGAAAATTTCCTTCTGTTCACAACGTACTTGCAAAGCAGAATTACTTTAGGAATCTGAGCATTACTTCACAGACATTTCTTGTGAAATAAGCATTTATGCAACAGTGTTTTATTCTACTTTGCCTCTCTAACCCCTTTATTACTATTTATGTGCACCCTTTATCCACGTTGACAAATCGAAGTTAAGTAGTGTAAAATAAACATATAAGAGAGAGGAATCAACTGCTCAACTAAAATAGCTTTTCTACCTTAGGTGTCAATCTCTTCACAAATAATACAATATTGAAAGAAACTATATCTTCTAATTACTACTTTAACTAAAATAATCATAGATGGACAAGCATACATATATGTAAAAATCTACTTCTGAAATGAGACAAGCGATTTTTCTAGAGTATGAATAAATTGTGACAGATGCCAGCACTTAATTTTGTAACTTTATGGAAAATACATTTTATTTTTATATTTGCAGCGTTTGTGGAAGGAGAACTGTATTCTGTTTGTGCTTAGTTTGTGCTAAAGCACAGGTAGGTATTTACCAAAAAGAAGAAAGTACTTCTAAGTAAAATGATAAGAATGTAAAAGTTATCTTTAATTCAGCAATAGTGAATAAGTCACATGCTGTCAGTAATGGTGAAAAAGATGGTATTTCCCCACATAACATGATCTGAAATACTCATGATAAAATAAAAATGGCACATAGATAGCTGTGCAAAAATATGACCACTGACTGTGAACCAAAAATCTGATTACACAAGGGGAGCAGTGCAGAAATGTTACCATTAACAAGGACCAAGTTAAGTGGCATAAGATTAAAAAAAAAAAAAAGATGGAAGAATACACTAAAGAAACGAGCAAAACTGGGAATGCAAGTTATGAAGTAAGAGAGGAGAAAGGACTCCACATTGGTTCCACACAAATATTTACCGGGGCATACTTAACACCAGTAATAAGACATGTGGAATGCAGCTAGGCCTTCCTTGCAACAGAATGTGATGTAGAGATTCTTTTGCTAGTACTACACTGAGCCACTGTGTGAGCTTACCAGCTCAGTCTGGAGCAGTGTAAAATTACTTGGGCCAGACAGGGTTTCTCCACTATGTACTCCTTCTGGTATGCTACTTACTACTCCTAGTCGTTCTGAGTGCAGCCAGCTCAGTGCTCCCTGCACTTAGGTTAAGACAACCCTTTTGCCATGTTTGTACAAGAGTTTCTCCCCCTAAAGAAATTTAGGCCTTGAACTTACTTCTTTCAGCCTCCTTTGAAATGATATATATATTTATTCTTCCCTTTTGTTAATTTCCTAGCACTGCTCTCTGACCAGTATTTCTCAGATTCATTTCAGTATACACCGAAATGCAGATCTCCAAGTCAGTTAAAAAACAAAAAAAAGGAAAAAACAAAACAAGTATCAGAATTTTGGTTCTCCACAAACCAAGTAAACTGGCACTGTTTAAGTTTTAAAAGCCAGTGTTTTTCTCTGGTTTTACTAAATAAACACACAACATAGCATATGAATCAGTTGTCACTGACCAAAGAAAATATTGGATAAGTAATATTATACATAACCATACATTAACTGTCTGATCCAGACTGAAACACAGCAGTTAGCAACTATCATGTTAAGTTCTTGCTTGAAGAACGACTGCAAAAAACTTTCACTTTGCTGCCCTCCTGTTACCTGAGGGATCTTGTCCATCAGCCGATAATGTAGCAGCACTTTTACTCCTAGCTAAGGATGCCTGTGTAGGGGCGAGGAGGCGACTGATAACGCTACTGTCCAGAGGACTGACCTGGGAGCGGCGAGCTAAATGATGGGAACAAATCAAAAAGGATCCAACATGAAATCATATAATGAAAAAGACAAGCAGTACAAAGCAAAGGAGGTTTGTGAGCATTGTTGCAAATCATAGCAGTTTTAGAAGAAAAACACCGAAGTCATGGAGAGAGAAATCCAAACTAATAGCATAGAAAGATTAAACACTGCAATCTCTTATGCTGCACTTGTCCTCGGCTTGCTTAATAGCAATCAATTTAATACATGGAGACAGATGCATACAACGGGGATGAATGCTGAAGTCAGTCAAAATAGGAAAAATTTTGACGCAGCTCTTCAGAGCTATACACTCTACATTGCAAGAAAGGTTATTCTGATATAAACAGACTTTCAAGCCAAAGTGAATGGTTATCATCAGGCATCATTTGCACAGACAAATGGATAGCACTCATCAATCTCTCAAACAGGAAAGATTCTGAAAAAGAATAATGCTTTTTCCACTGTTGGCAACAGCTGCTAAAAGGAAAGTTTCAGAATTGTTAAAGGGAAAAAAGAGTTAGAAAAGTTGCTAGTCTTCTGCTTTAGAAAGAGTCCCTAGAAAAAAAAAAGGTATTTGTAACCTAGTGGGGAATACACAGAACAAAGGAGACTGAAGTGAAACCAGTTTCCTCCATCATTCACATGCAGAAAGTTCAGATGAGCAGCAGGAGCAGAGAAGTTGCTATTAAACTGAATAGTGAAAGAGAGCTTAGAAAGCAAAAGTAAGATTTAACTAAGAAGTGAAAACATCACTAACATTTTTATTGTATCTTACACTTAATCCTACCAGCTTTCAAATACACCTCTCTCCTGAGCAGAGACTTTCTGCAATCTACTTAGAGCACAACCTAACAGAGTCAAATCCTTCTTACAGCATTTTTTTTTCTGCCCCAAGTTAGAAATTTAATCTTTACTATTTACAATTTTATCTTTACCACTGAATAACTAAAAAGCCCTTAAAAAGTCCTGGAGATTTAACAACCAAAGGAAACTAGTGAAGGTAAGCCTATCCAAACTTTACTGTGAATGTTTTTTAAAGGAAATATTCAGCTTTATGAAACAACCACCTGTTTTTTCTTCCTTTTTCACTTTTTCTAGTTCAGGAGAGGAATGAGGTTTACTACTCATTCTATTCAAAGATGTGCTCCTCTTCTTTTCTGTTCCTCCTAGAGACCAAGCGTAAGGAAGATTATTTTTAACATAGTATTTATATATATATGATTTTCTAAATTGTCTTTCTCATACTTTGCTTTTGCCAAGAAATCAGCTGAAAACACTCATCTAAAAATTATGAACCAGTAGTTTCTTGTAAGTGAAATGGTTTGGCTAGCATTTCTCTATTCTGCCCTTCCAGCCGCCCACCTCCTCCACCCCTTCCGCTTTTTAAAGTCTGTTTTTTAGGAAATCACCTAATATCTGGCACTGGAATGTGCATAACAATATTTACACCACAGTGCATAGACCACATCTACAGCAGTGAACGCATGAGTAAAAACCCAGATAATGAACCTGGGATGTGGTTTAAAATCAATTTCAAATACCCCGTCTACCGTCTCCCAATTCTCAAAATGAACTCGTTTCTAGCACCTTTCTGTTCCACCTGTGAACCTTTGAGTGCTGACTGCTGAGAATGTACAGGAACTTTGTTATTCAGCCTGTTTAATGAGGCACTTCGCTTTGTGGTACCTGGAAGTGAAAGCGCATGGATTAATTTTGTTGAAAAGCCTAAAAGGTCCCCTCCAACACCAGCCCCACTTCCCTTATATACAGAATTGCAATTAAGTCACTTCCTAGTATAGATCCTCCACAAGCAGGAAAATTGGAATAGGGAAGAATCACTCCATATATGTGTATATTTTATTCTCCTGTACATTGCTTATCACAGAGACATAATGCCAATCTTAACAGACCTCGTTTGAGCTACTGACGTCATCTTTGCAGGCCTTTCTGAATAAATAATTTTAAAAGGCCTCTGCTCACATTCTGAATGAGTAAGAGACAGAAACAAAGTGTACAGCTCAGAATTAACACAGCTGAAGAAATACTCCACTGATCCAGAAACAAGTTCTTTCTCTCATTTATGCATTCTGCTCCTTCACCTTCCCAGACACATACACGTGGCAGAAACAATTTGGTCAATTTTGTGACCGTATTTTCCTTTGCGATTTGAATTTCATCATCATTCACTAAAATGGCATTTCTTCTTGAGCACCAGACCAGAAGCAATTGTTCTAACTTGCTGTGGTGATCTAAATCTGTCAGTAAGTCACCCTCTACATCCAGCTAATCCAAGAAGTCACAAGTCCTATCCAAATTTCTTCCATTTCAAACCACCTGAGATTTTATTCTCCAACGCATACAAAGATTCACAAAGGATTTCACAGTAGACAGTAAGTTTGAAAGCAATCCCAATTAGCTGATAATTACTGACTTCCTTTGTTAGATGCTTAATTTCTACTCTACAGCCCTGTTTCTGACTCATACCCGGGCTGAACCCTGCAGACACATTATACATAAATATCATTTCAGATCACAAGCAGTCTCCAGTGACTCAGACAGACTGCCCCTGCAGCTATGCCAGCATGGATATATTCACCAATTCCCCTACCGGGCAAACAGTGCATGAATACAAGTTTTTCTGCTGCATCACCTTCCAACCTGAACCAGCAAAAATAGTTAGCTATGTCCATGTTAGAGATTTTTCTAGCACAGCTAATTTGATCAAATGTTGTAAGACTGACAGAACGCTTCAGTGTAGACGTAACTGTTCATATTAAACAGCTCTTGGCTTATTAATACTTATCATTACCTTGGGAAGAAACATTTCTGTTACAGGCAGGCTCCTATGAAACACAGAAGAGATTCCCACAAGGAAGTCTCATGCTAAAACAAGCTGGTATGTGCTAATACAAATCTTTCCTTTTCTTAACAAGTAGATTAGTACAATTCTTTTTTTTTTAAATTAAATAATTATTTTATTTTTAATTGAAGAAGGCAGATCATTAGGATTTACAGAATGACCTTGATGTTATGTTCTGGAAGGTCTGTTTCACATTTCCTCGATACAGGTAGTGTACACATATTGGGATGGGGCAGAAGGGAGGAGGAAGTGAGAAGTGTGAAACATTTAAGCCTGTCAGAATTAAAAGAACAGAGATCTATCCCATCCCTCTAGATCTCTGTTAAAACTAGTCAAGTTACGCACATTTTAAATGCGACACACTGCAGCCAGGAACTTTATCGCACCTACATTCGAAATCAAAAATGAGATTGGAAGCCACAGAAATTATAGAGGATCTCAAGAGCACAAACACACTCAGAAACCCTTTAAAAATAAAATTAAAGGAATAGCTATCTTGTGGTCCATTCGTATTTCTTGACAATCATTAACACAGTAAGATAGACTTCATAATGCTTGGAAGCAGTGGTGTGTACTAACAGTTTGAGAAATGCATAATTTGTGTATCAGAATCAAACTTACATGTCCTTATTGGGCTAGAAAATGACAGTGCTGCAGTCTATAGCTACTATCATACTAGAACCTCAGGTCAAAACAAAAAAACCTCCTCCCATCCAAAAATCTCCCAGAACTGTCAAGAGTTTTTTATGCATTCTTTTCTATTTGGTTAAGGCAGAATTCTAAGATTAAAAAGAAAGTGTGTCTATTGAGTACAGTACCTGCACAAAAGAAAGATGCCAAAACTATGTTGATTTTGTCCTCCCCACAGGCAAGCAAATGACTAAATCTGTCTAACAAAATTTAAACTTTACTTTTGTACTATTTGTAGTTTGCTGAAATTTTAGGATGTGATTTAAGGCATGCAACCCCCTGAAGATGATGGGAAATGATTTATGAATCAATCATTCACCAAGATTTGACTTTAGTAAAATGATTACAGAAATAAAAATAATAATAAAAAAAAAGACAGTAATCTTTACCGTTACTCTTCTCCTCTAATAGAGATCACATCAACTGGGTCAAAGCCCTGAACAGTCAAGCTGGATTAACAAATTGCATGAAATGCATTTGAGATCAAAATATGAAGTGAATTGTACATCAAAGGAGGAAGAGGAGTATCATTTGTCCTCATGTCTCCTCCCCAAATAACAATTAAGCAGTATACCTGCTACCAGCAGGAACACAAACACTTACTTCGATCAGAAGCATTTAAAAGTGCTGCAGATGATGATAAACGTTTATTCATGACAGCTTCTGTTTGCTTGAGGTTTGCAGTGGAGGTGGACCGCTTGCTGGCTGTGTAAAGAAGTGGTTATTTTAGAATTCACCTTCATACCTGCAGAGGAACTTTTCATGTTTTCCTTAGAGACAACTTTGGAAGTATTGCATCCTGACAGCTACCTCAAGTTTTGTTTAATGAGAAACAAATGTGTTATTGTTGTTGTTTGTTTGTTTTCCTTTGATTGTACTTGATACAATTAATACCAGTTGTAACATGCAGAGGAAAGGCATTCAGTTTTAGTACAGTAAAGCATAGATTTTAAGCATGTGTATGCAAACAAGTGATTTTTAAACCCTCTGCTCCTAACAAATGAAGACCAAGGCTACTGAGACTGTGTGTTGTTACTAGACTGGCAAGACAGAGAAAGTAGCAACAAAACCTGAATAACAGTAATTTCCTTCTTTGTAACTTCCACTCAGGTATCTCAAAAGAGTTATTCATTCACTAGTTAAGAAAAACAAACCAAAATAAATGCTTCTGGAAGTATAAAACCAAGTCCTGAAGAAAGTCAAGAAAGCATTCTTATTTCTGATTATTTCTGAAGGGCTGTTTTATTTCAGAAATTTCTTTTTTTTTTTTTTTTCCCTAAAAGTTATTCCTTAAGTTCATGTTTCCAACCAGCTTTCCGACTCTTCTGAAACAACTACACCTTGAGACATTAATTAATTCTTCTATATGAGTATACAAACACAAACACAAAATCACAACTCATACTGCAAAATTTTATGTTTACCACAAGCCAGATAAAGACCTGCTTTTTAATTTCAAATAATGTTCTTTCAGGATGAACACTACTCCAAAGCATGAAAGCCCTGAAAAAGCATGGATCTATTGCTATGGAAACTCAGTAAGTAGAATACGATAACGTATGTAAAGCATTACGGACTAGCATAATAAACACCGAAAGTTCTGTACTTCTAACACAAATAATTGATTGTGCTGGTACATTGGACTGCAAAGATGATTAATACGAACTCATCAGCGCATACAAAACACCAAAGGAAAAAGCAACACTACTCACCACAGGGGCAGCTTCTTTTCCCTTTGGCTAGTGTGCTGTAGTAGCTCCTTACAGCAAGAGCCAGGGCACAAGCTGTTCCTATGGACAGCCCTACCTCTACTTTTGATTCGTGTACCCAACCCAGACTTCCTAAAGCACCATGAGCTAAGGGTCTCCCTCTCAAAGCAGCAAATGTGAACCCATGTGAAGTGGAACACACCTTCTGAAGCTGAATCTAAAGAAATGGAAAGCTGTTGTCACAGTGAATTAAAAGGAAAGTCTCCATGGGGTAAGAGAAAGGGGAATTTAGTCAATCTAGTTAAGAAACAAAATCTGAGCTTAGATGATACTTTCCTAACGTAACAAAAATGGTATTTTTTGAATGAAGCCTGAGTACTCTGATAACTAAAACAGCCTTGCAAGAGTTCATATACAAAAAACAGGCACTTGTAATTTTTGTATTTGGGTCTTTCCAAAGGGAAACACTCCCCTCTAGTGGCTGATTTGAAAAACAACAAACAAACAACAACAAAACAGTTCCTGCCTTGATTTAAGCACACGCGAGTCAAATGCCTAACATCATGGAGATAAATGCCTAACATCATGGAGATACTTTATATAAATTTCTCTTTGTTCAAATTAAGACTTCAGCATCTACATGAATTATGAGCTTTAGTCAATCACCTACCGAGACCCAGAGGGCTGAAAATTAAATCTTGCCTTGAGAAAAATTACACTATGCAAAATACTTCTTTTTCAGCAAGTTTACAGGTTCTGAAGGTGGACTGTACTGTTTAGTAGAGACAAGTGCTGAAACTGCTGCTAGAAGACTAGAAAGAAAAATGTACAGTCTATACATGACTGTTCAGATAAAAAAACAGTTGACACCTTGACTGGAAAAAATCAAATTGGTAAAGCATACTCCCACAGATATTTAAATTTTCCTATTTACAAAAAAGTTTACTTTGCGCTAATTGCCTAAAATTGTTAGAACTCAATGCTTTTTTGATCAATACATTTGAAAATATATGATCAGATGGCCTCATATTTTCCCCTACCTCAAGCACAAGATTGCTTCTGAAAACCTCAAAGTTTTGGACAGATCGCTATTAAATGAAACAACTTTAGAAGACAGACATAATTTTCTCAAGTAAGTTAGCCTGGTAACATGTAAATACTTCTGTACTTTGATGGGAAAGCTAAATTATTTGCAACAAGGGACTTGAACTGGAAAAAGCATATAGTATAATTCATGAGGTGCCAAACATCTGTTTTTTTTTTAATGGTATGGAAAAAAAAATTAGCAACAAAGCCAAAGAAAGAACATGATGACTATGCATCAAGGTTGGCAATGTGGGAAGGAGCTATGGAACATGGTACCTTACAAATATCAGAGAGAGCAGCTCTCAACCCTAGCTTCCAGGCAAGTTTCACTGAGAGACAGAGGGTGCTGGAGCACTGCCTATCTGGGGTCGCATAAAATTAGGCTAAATAAAATAAAATTATCTGTTTTGTAGCTCCTTCCGAGTTTGTACGAGGACACAATCTATTTAGAAAGGGGAAAGTCTTGCAACCCACTTTTTATTCTAATAGCACAAGTCTCCACTTCAAGTGCACCTGAATGTCTACTTTTGCTTAGCAGTCATCGCTAAACCTCCCTCATTTATAAGGACTCTGTCATCAGGGATGCTTTACTACACAGCCTTGCCATTTTTCTTGGTAGACCCACAGCCTGCATGTTTCATCTTAGCACTGACAGCAATGTCATTAACGCAACATTAGACTCTAGGGTTTTCATCAATTTTTAAATTTCGGACCATCAGCGGGGTATTTGGTGCAGTCTCAATTAATCACATTCTGTACATTAATACGGAATGCCTGATGGCTGGTGAAATGTTCAGTTACATAGGGTTTACTTTCAAGAGCATGCTATCTCCATCACCCACAAACACTGCTTTACCAGTCAACATTCCTAAATATTACCACTGGCATATCTGGTTCATGGAAGGACATGACTGATTTCTTATTTTTGTTGCACAGCAACAAAAAAGACAAGAAAGCATATAAAATAAAGAATATTTGAAATCTGCCCCACAGTGTTTTTCATTTCAAGAAATGGAGATGGAGACTTTAATCCCAAATCTGCCACAGAAATTGATGATGGAAAAATACCCTATAGAAATTTGCTTTAGACATGCTGTCAGAGCAGGTGCATTACTCAGACACAATGATGTAATGCAGCAGAGCTCATTCCAAGCTCTAAAAGTAATTGTTTTCTTTCCAGCAATTATATAAATATAAGGTGAAAGGGATCAAATAAAGATTATTTTACTCGAAAGCTTGCTGGATTTATGCACCCTATGTTTTCTGTAGATCACCCGTTTAACAGGTAAACGAATACAGTGAAAGTGGCTAATTTTGAAGAAAATTAGGGATTCATGCTGTGCAGAGAAAGGGATGAGAGAAGTTTAAATAAAATACATATGCTTCTGCTATGTTGCCAGAATAAGGCACAGTAGTTAAATCATGCTCACTCAGACTTTCATTGCATTTGCAAGTCTCATTGTCAGGATTACAAGACAGCTGTGTTGAATTAGTAATGCTGTGAGCATGCACAGATTTTCAGAATTCAGATTTAGCTGGGTCTCAGCTGAGAGCTGTTGTCTTAAACTACCTACAAGAAATAATTTTACTTATTAAACATACAGACTTCACAAATATATCAGCGATCCAAAATGTTTCTGTGAATGGCTCACTCTGTACACTGGCAAATACCAGAACTACGATTAAAATACGTTAAATATATAGAATTACATTTAGACAATAAGACATCTAGTTTTGCAAAGCCCTACGTGGAAAAAGAATCAAAGTGCACATAGGAGCCATTCCCTTTAAAAAAAAATTACCAAAATCATTTGATTTTACAAGTACTTTCAATTGCTCATTAAAAAAAATAAAAAAAGAAACCACAAAACAAAAAATAAACCAACCCCACACTTTTTGCAAAGTAGGAGACAATGAAAGGGTTCAAAATGTCCATTTTTGAAAAAAAGCTGACTACTGAGTTAATTTATTTCCAAATACAATCCTCTAAGAATTTCTCTTCTCCTCTTCCCATGCTGTATCTAATCATCTTTAAAAACCCAAATGCACATATCCTTTTCCTCAAAATTCCCTCAGGATGCCACAACTAAAGCTATAGTTTAATTAGCTGGGAGGGATAGTTAAAAATGTAGAGGACTGCTTTCCACTTAGGGATCACGTTTGTTGCATAGCTGGCCAAGATCCAGGAGAAGATCTATACGGAGATGTTTTTTCTTAGTTTTAGAGAAACAAGAACTCAAGTTTAAATGATTAGTAGTGAGTGTAAAACAAAAGAAAAAGAAAATTTTAGAAATCAATACCACCAGTTCCAACTTCATCTGTGGTCTGTTGCTCTGTGGAAGAAGAAGGTTTGTAAGTTACAAGGTCAAATAATAAACAATGTTAAGCAAAAAAAAAATGGGGATTATCATGATTATTTCTATCATAAGTACTTTCAAACATGCTTTAAACAAACACTTAAAAATTAACATTCAAGCTGGCAAAAAAAAAAAGACACTACTTAAAACAAAAGTCGAAATACACCCAGTACAATTCCAGCAATTCAGAAGATAAGCTGAATTGAAGAGTTTTTGGCTTTACTTTATTGCTGGACAATAACCAATTTAAAGTTACTTATTGGCAGAGGCCTTCCAGCTGGGCAGTACATGAAAAGATCTCTCCCAGTGCACCATTCCAGGACACGTACAGACAGGAATCTTTCCCCCCAAACCTACCTGTGGATCCTGTTATAAGATCCAACATAGGAAAGGATGCCCAGGTCTCTATGAATAGCACTACACCTGCCAGTGTTCACGCATATTAGCCATGCTAGAAAAGGTGTTACTTACCTGTTTTGCTCTCTGAATCTGGCGTTACAGACCCTCCCCAGGACCATCTCTTTTGTCGTGTTTCCAGTCGCTGACTCCGTTCCAAGGTACGATGCATAGCTGCTTCATATCGCTCCTATTATTAAACAACACCACTATGAAGGTATGTAACTATAAACCACAGCTATGCTAGAAGACAAAATACAGATTTTTTTCCAGCAAGATTTAAAATGTTTTATTTTGTTGCAAAAACTGTCACACAAAAATGTTAATGACAATTAATACTTTTGAAATTGTAAACATGATTAGACTAGTGACAGCACAGGTAATCTATTTTACTCTTTACTTAAAATAGCCATCAGGTTTCCTATTCAGTAAACAGTACTACTTATTTTCTAAATAGGGATGAAGCCCAAACTGAGCAAAAATAATTGCTTATTCTTTACACTATTTATATTCTCCAGTTATTTCTAAGAGGTGCTTGAAATTCTCCATTATAAAATACCAAGTGTAACTATAAGGTTGTTTGTATTGTCAGAGAACTATATGAACACTGATCCAAGTATTAACAGATACTGACATCAATAGATACACAATGAAACCAGACATTGCAAGATATGAAAGCAAAAAATCTGCAAAAAAGATTAATCAGCTCTAGACTAGAGCGATCGCTGCTGACAGGATGAGGAGTACCGAACAAAGCTTTCTTCTGTATCCAGGACTAAGAACTGCTAACGTGGGAACTTCATCTATTGTGCACAAAGACAAAATGTAATCATGCTAGACCATTTCTTCTCCATAATCAGTCAGGTTTCCATCCACGTGTCAACAACACATTTCTTTTCTGGAACAGTCATATCCCAAGCGATCTCTTGATGCAGTATTTACTGCCGACACATTAGAGTAAGATGCCAAGGGGACTTATTATCCAAATGTTCCTCCCTCCTGAGGACGTAAGACTTTCACTTTCTTTCAACACCGTTTCACAATACAAACCGACACAGTCACAGTGTAAAACAGACAAAGTAAACTTGGAAGGAAGGAGGAAAGGAAGGAAGGAAAGCAGCATTCCATATACTGACAAAAGATAAAATGAAAAGTTTTTTTTTGAAATATAAAGCTTAGTTGTTGCCCCTCATCCCTTGTTAAACAAAGCTGAATTAGAGTTTACCTAACATGCCTAAGCATCTAGTCTTTATGTAATCTGTAGATGAGAAGGTATTTGCAGTGTGGTAATTCTTGAAAGTCATAGTTAAAGACTTTGCTTTATAAACAATGGAAAATCAGTTATCAACTCAATACATCAACATAATCAGTTGCACAGCTGTACAGAATAATTGAGTAATTGTTCTAAGACAGGTATCTCAACGGTACCATTGCTAATTGTCTTCAAGACTGGCTTACACAGAGAACCACTTATTTTTCCACATTGCTCGCTATTGTGTTTCTTCCTCTGCATTATCCAAGGAAGGCGATTAACTAAATGAGACTTGGCTAAAGAACCTTACAAGCACGTGGCAGACTATGTATTTTTGATGCACTTCTATCTGCTAAATTACAAGAGAAGATGGTATCTTGCTGGCAAATAATGCCTTAAGATAGCTTCTGTAGAAGCAGTTTTTTTCAGGTGTGGAAGTCCAAAAGTCGAGATCTGTTTTCCTTTTCTGGTTGAAAGCAAGGTTTACAGGTCAAGTGCACACTATTTTCTTACCTCCCTGATTCTTCACAGATCTCTCTCTTTGTCTTCCTCCAGGGACCAATTAAAAGACAAGGTTAACATCAATCAAAAACCCATCGGCTAGTCCCTTCACCACTCACCACAGTGGCTACTGAAAACATACCTATCATCCTCTAAGTTTCATGAATAAACACACTGTAGGCTTAGGGGCAGCACCTCTTGAAGCATAAGGGATGTTTTATGCTTAAAGTAGTTGCCTGAAGAGATAATACCACACTGGACTCCAGTCAAGCCCACCCCAAACATTTCTGCTTGTTCTTCAGCAATGTAAATTATTCCATGAAGTTCAAACGGAATATCCATCTGAACACACCCAGAAGCTGATTATAGATAATAAAACATCAGTGTAGAATACTGCCAGTCAAAAAAAAAAAAAAAAAAGAGACCTATACCTCGAACAGTATGACAATAGCTGGACTCTTCAAGGGGACATCCAGCCAGGCTTACATCCTCCTCATCAACGACCACAGCAAGTTCTTACAGTTAGCTTATGAAAGCGTGTGTGTGTGTTATGCTTTTACTGCTTACACCGCTTCTGGAAATCAACCCTTTCATAACTTGCAACACATTTAACATGCATCAGCAGATCAACTTGTCAAAGGGGATGGCACATAGTAACGTATTTATTTCTGTTCTCTGCTTCTATGAAGCCAGCAACATGCTCCACAAGTCAAATACTGCTCTGCTACTCTCCATGTGCAATCAAAGCAAAGGCAAAGGGACAGGCAATTAAGAACAGCTGATACAAAGTGCAAAGCAGTAAATAAGTACACAGGTAACATCAATTGCACAACACATGGTAACAAATTATAATTTAGGAGAACTGAAAGAATGTGAGACTCATTGGCCACAGCTGGGCTCCCAGAAAGCAAGACACAGAGCCGAAAAAAGTTTAAAACCTGTCACCCATGGTAATTTACAAATGGGATCTATTAAGTGCACCAAAAAGAAGCAACACATTTAGGAATATAGAGGTTTGTTTGTTTTTGTGAATGTCAAAAATAATCACTGGCCAAGCAGCAAACACAGCTTCCAAAGTCCAGAGTTCCTCAGCTATAGTTAAAACTAGTCCAGGGATGGGGATGGAGGACGTGTCCACTGTACAGATGTGTAAAATGTTTTTACATTCCAACACGCACAGCATTCCCATGACTTTCTATTTTTCATCATTCAGAGCATGGTAAGAACATAATGTAGAAGCTCCTATACAACTACAGAACTTCAAGACACAGTACCTTTTCCTCTTCTATTTTCTGTTTTCTTTTTTCCTCTACTGCTGCCCTCCGTTGTTCCTCTTTCTGCTTTTGTTCTTTTAGCTTTCTCTGCCTTTCTTCTAACTGTTTTTCATACTGAAGTTTTGCTTTTCTCTCCTTTTCAAGGATTTGTGTTTCTTTGGCAGCTGTAAATTTTTAAGAGAAAACTGAAATCAAACTTAACTATTCATTGATATTACAACACACATTACAGGCAAAACTACCAAGCAAAATTATCACCCCTTCAAACTACAACACATAGCAAGATTAGCTAGCAGTGCTGGATGACACTTCACATGATGACTGAGATGTCTAATTCTGTCCCCAGGATGGCAATGAATTCGAACCTTTTCTGCCATTACACTTCACTGTCTAGACAGGAATGCCAGGATATGTATATACACACTTTCCTTGCCATCATAATAGTCTTAATAAGTAAGTAGTAAGTTGAGTATCAAAGGGTGGAATTTTCTATGTTGCAATTCTCAGTTTTTTAGAATTAAACTTATATGGAAAAGATGTAAAGCATTGGGCAACAACACAGGAAAACGCTGTAGATACTGCATCTGAGTTCAAATAGTTATGTCACCGTTCTCCACAGCCTCCACCTAGATACAGCTGTGCAGAGTTTAACAAGCTTCACCTCCTCTGACAAAAATCTAGCGCCTGAATACACAGTAGAGGTAGTTTCTGTGGCTAGACAGATGAAATGATCTTAGAGACCAGATAATTATATTAACAACACATTGGCATTATCTACGTACAAAGCCCCAAAAATACTTCTGAATTTACGTACATCCCAGTCCTGTTCTCTCTTCATGTTAGGAAGAGACGATCATTCCTGTTTTGTGTGTCTTTGATCACACATTAAGCAACACAGACATGCAGGCCAGAGTAAGACGCTGCTCCTCACCAGCTGGGAGACTGAGAACAAGGACTGCAGGGCATACCGTGACCCTTTCATCTCTTGCTTCACATATATAAACTCAGATTCACATCACAAACAGCATAAAGCTGGGCAAGAGTTTTATACTCTTCTCTAAGTCTCAGATTCTTAGCTAAAATAAAGCATATACTGCTGACACTTAAATCCAGGAGCCTTTTCAGCATGCTAGGAAACAAGAGAAGCAGTATTCGAGGCAATCAAGCCATTCAACTAGCTAAGTCCTTTTTGGTTTTCTCTGAATCAGTGTTTCTCAAACCTCAGTCTTCAGGGCTACAGGAAGAAGCTCTAAGATAAAGGTTATCATTTCAGAAATGTTTTTGCTGAGGTTTCCAACAAGAAGTTGAGTCTATTTGCCTGGTGGTCCCTCAGAACTGGAAAGACAGAAGCAATATACAGTTTCAAGAAGCCAAAAATCTCTGTAATATTTTCCTCTCAACTCTAATTTTTCTCCAGGCTCACAGATGGTCACTGAAGCAAGACCAAGGGCAGACCTGGTTGGTGGTCTCCAGCAAGCTGAAAAAAAGTGACTAAACGAGGAGTAAGAGCATAAGTTATTATTTTATCACAAAGATTTTCAGAAATTATATTTCAAATGGAACAAGAAAATACCATGTTGCTTTTCCCGCTCTTCTCTACGCTCCCTGGCTAGTCTTTGCCTTTCTTCTGTTCTTAGAGTAGAACCATCTATCACTGTCAAAAGAAAAATTGAAGACATGTAATTGTCAGTTATTTTGAACATTTAAATCTAAATAAAGTAGTTGTAAAGTCTTTCCTACTGACAGGATTATGGAACATCCTGAGAGATGCATACCACCAAAGCACTGCACATTTTATATAGAGATTAGAGATCTCAACTGGAAAACTAAGAAGAGGCAGAATACCCTCCCCCTTCCCCTTTCCACTCCCTCACTACAACCGATCCTTTTTTAATGGGTGCAGCTGAAAGTATGCACAAGATTAAAAAGCCCACTGTGTGCAGTCAAAAGAAAGCCTGGGAAACATCAGACGTTGTAGAACGTACACTTATTCCAAATTCAACTCTGATCCTTATTCCTGCACATATTAATTCCCGTGATCAAGAAATACAGGAATCTAGGAAAACTCCATCTGGGAACAGATAGTTTATGCATCTTGACAAATTCAAAGTGCTGCAGGATAGCTACTTTTCAGGCTAAGCAGAACCAGGACTGCCTGAGTCTTTGTAGGTATAAAAACCTGAATTTCAGACAGAAGTGAACTGGCAAGCAAACCAGAACATGAAGAATGCATTTATCTTCATTGTTATGTCCTGCTGAAACGATAGGCAACTTCAGCAGCTGAACTGAGAGCACTGAGAACAAAAAGCCTGTCATCAGAACTAGACCTTCAATGAATCTATGAACCATCTAAACAAGCACTTCATGCTAATCTCTACTAAGGAAAGAGCATCAAACTTCTTTTTAAAAACCTCCCTGTAAACCCAACACTTCATTAAGAACAATGACCAATAATCATACCTGGTTTAGTTGCTGTCTTTATGTTTATTGAGGTCTGGACTGCAATAGGGCTAACACCACTTTGGCTTCTTCTTTCTTCTGCTATGGCTTGGGCTGCAGCAACTGTGAGAAAGAATCATTCCATATTAAGAGAATTTCTACAACCCTAACTCATGAAATAAACACATAAAATAAAAGCATCAAGTTCTATTTGAGGCTGCAGATTCTTTAATTTAATAACTAACTTGGGCCTGCTCATTTTTTAAGAAGAAACAATTTTTCAGATGAGATTTCAGAGGTGACACAGGTTTTATTTGTAAAAGCAACAGAGACAAAAGCTTATGTTTTACAATGCATAGAAAAGGACTACATGGTTTCAAAAAAATTGAACATTTAATAGTGAACTATAATAAGAGAAACAATATTTAGTAAAGTTATAAGTCTGACTTAAACACTTAATAAAAACTTTTTGCTACGCACTTGTATTTGCAGGCTTAAACAAACATAATAGACTGTTAGCAGTGATCGAATAATATTTTGATGAGACCCAGGCAGGAAAAAGTTTCTGAGCATCTTTCATTATTTCATGACATGAAAAAGAAAGTGGGTTAGCTGTATAAAGTAAACCATTAGGAATGCTTACATTGTACTTCTGAAATTGGACCTTCAAAAATAAATTTTAATTATAAATTAGAGTCCAAAATAGTAATTTGAGCAATTGTGGAGAGACCAATTCACCTTCTCTGAGTCCTACCAAGGTGAATACAGAGAACTGCAGGGCTATGGCTCCCAGTTAATCATACAGAAATTGAATGCTGGCTATATTAATTTCACTAAATGACAAAAGCCCTTAAGAAAAGCCCTTAAGAAGTCAGGGAGACTATTTACTGTATCATTTTTCACAAATCTGCTTTATTTTGGTATCCCTTTTCACTTTAATTAGTGATGTTTAGGGTCTAAAGGCAAAACTTTGCACATAGAGCAGGCAGGGCAGCCTGTGAGCCAGACAGCTCTACCCCACTTCCCTGCCCAGCTTTGAATGGGATAGCATCTTTACACCAGGGACGCATTTTCATCAGCATCAAGTCACCTTGGCTCACAGATACAGGGAGATCAATTGGGGTCTTTCAGAAATGCTTAACTTTGGAAAAAGCAAGAGGAAGCACCGGGCAGCACCAGACACATCAGATTTGCCATCAATTATACATAAAAAAGTAGAAGTTAACGCCTGTTTTAAACAGAAAGGGTAATCCACTTCATAATTATGATTTAAACCAGAACACGGAGGATGAATAGCAATTTTGGTGTTATATTAAAAAAAAAAAAAAAAAAGCTTTGTCAATGATCTCAGGCTTTCCTTTAATAGAGGAGTGCAAACTGCAAAAGAGGAAAAGAGGAAGGAAGAGCCTCTCTCCTCTTCATGTATTGCCATGACAACTAGCTCTGTCATGGTAATAATCCTCCCTAAGGCTGTGCCCAAGAACAATCACCTCAAAGTGTTTAATCCCATGTGATGTCAGTGATAAATGCTGATTACAATACTTATTCAGCAACTCTAAATTGTCACCCGCAGCTGTTGCCATGTCTTGAATTAATTTTTCATTGCAGCCCCAAACAAAAGTCTTCCTCAATTCTACCCAATGCATCTTGGAGGCTCTTTTCGAACAAATAAGAGACCTGATATAATGCGACATGGTAAGATTACCAATTTGCAACGAGAAGAGCTAGAACAGGGCACACTGTAATTTCACCACATAGACAAAAAGACAGTCAAAAAGCTGATTTTGTGAGTACTGCAGGTCACATAGACATGAATCTGGCTCAGGTCACCAGACAAGTTGTATCTGCTGCACACAACAAGATGTGAAAACACTCTGAGAAAGAACAGCCTACTGCAGGTTTTTCTGAGCAGAGGAACATGCAGCCAGAACATTTATACCCCTGTAGGCTACAAAGACTGAAAAAATACGAGCATCTTCAAATACAATTTTAAATTAAGGGAAATATAGAAACCCAGTTGCATTGTTTCTTCAGTCCATCGAAAGAGGTACACAGGTGGGCTGAGACAATTCACCTCAGCCCAGCTGGGAACTGAGCACAACAGAATAAATTCACCCGACTTGGACACAGGTTCTAGTCAAAACCAGCACTGGAATTTTGCCTCTACTCCCAGAAACTTAAACACCCAAATTTCTGTAACAAAGTTACAGAGAGAAGCAAGCTGTAATGTAAAAAGGTACCTAATTAATCTTACTTTACCTGTAGAAGTATTTTACTATTAGAAATCTTGATGAACAAACCAGTTATTATGGATTTATGGGATTATGTATTTATTCATTAAAAAAAGCACACAAACACTTATTGATGTTTATGATTAGAAGGCACCAATTAAAAATGTGTCCCATCTACAAGGCAATTAGTTCATTTTAAAAATATAACTAAGGTTGCAAAAAATATTTGAGATTCTATAGAAGAACATAAAAGTGGGTTACAAAACCAGTACAACTTGCAAAGGGCACAGAGAAGAAATATTTAGCCAAAGGATTTTGCATGGCAGTTAAAACATTTCTGATCACTGATTCAACGATCTGTAATTTTAATAGAAATGCTTACAAATTTGGAAGTGCAAGATTCAGAGGCACTAGGAGTGTACCTTCATGTCACGCCGAAACAATCCATTTAACTAACAAAATTAGAATTAAAAACGAACTACAGATTTAAGCACAAGATTATTAAAAGGGAAACAGCTATCACATTATTACATGAATCCTCAAAATGTGTGAGCTCAGCTTCACCAAATCTCACATCAGAAGAAAGGTTTAATGGCCTTTGTCAATTTTATGGTCAATTTACGATAAAATCTGTAATTTTCAACATCAACATTCTACTGTATGGGGAGATTAACTGCACACTGTTGTACTGTACAAATTTTAAAAAACACAGATCTTATTTTTCTTTAATATGGTAAAAAGACTTTTTAATTAGATTTAAACATTCTTTAGCATAAGATGCCTGTGATTTTTTAGAACACTTTTTCATACTGAATGCAGCAATCTGTTATGAAGCAAAGCTTCACTGAAATCAATTTCCCACAAAACCTACCTATTTTTGTAAAATAAGCCTAGTAGTTCTGTAATTAATCAGGAAACCCCAGAACAGGAAACCAGTTAACAACCACTTCACTACAGCCTGTACTGTGTGCTGTAGTACTGGGGGATGCCTTCACGGGCACATTCAGCAAACTTCCTGTAGAAGAAAAATTCCCTAAGAGGCAAACTAAATCTCCTTTCTAGTCTGAGCTTCCCTCCCACAGCAGTCACTAAAGGCTTTCACAACAATTACTTGTTATCAGCATGATATGCGGGCTTATTTTACAGTAGTCTAAATACTTCAGCTAAAATTTATAAAGGCACAAGACACCCATGCGGCCAGTACCAATATCTGCATTTGTGCATAATAAAATAGGGCTATTTGGAACAGAAAATGGTTAGGTAACTTGGGCAGCAGTTTTCCTTCTGCCCTGTCACTACCATCTAACATTATACATCTGGTCCAGCACATCTCGGACAAGATAACCCAACCCAACCCAACCAGAGCACCAGGAGCTGCCACGAGCTGGACAAAGCAGACTCGTCCTGGTTCACCTCCAGCCCGCAGCCCAGCTAACAGCACGGGTCCGGTGGCACCTCCCTCGCACCGAGCATGACGACACTTCCCGTTCTGATTAGGTTTCCAATATGCCCTGAAGAGCCCGCTGCTATAAATAAAGCTTTATTTCTATTTCTATCCTTGCGCCGAGTTAATGCTCTTGGCCACTGCCAAGACTGTCAGAGGACCTACACAGTTGCTGTTCTTAGCAAGCCTCATTAGGACCTGAACCGGCTCCGTCCCTTTACCTAGCAAGGTTGAGGGCTCCCATCGCATCGTCTTTCACGGTGTCTTTCACCCGATCAGACGCTGCCCCGCTCTCTTTTCCTCTCCTGTGCCAAACCAGAAGGGAGAGCAGAATATGCTGACTTTCACAGCAATCCTTCTGGTTCTTATGATTTACTGACTCATCATGTAAACCAAGCAACCAAACAAAAAAAAAAACAGGGTAAGCCTTTCAAACTAAAGTTAGAGGATCTCTTCAATGTTAAGCACCATTGTCAATCTACACGTTTTCACAAATGTTTAAATCAGGTGCCAAGAAGCCAACGAGCAATGCAAAAAAGAACGAATTTGAACTTCCCACTAAACATCTCTGATTTTATAGCAGACTGCGTTAAATTTGCAAAATGTCATTTTTGTATTGCATTAGCTCTTTTCTCAACCAGTAACTCTTTGCCTAGCTGCTAGTAATCCCTTTCCGTAACACTCCTCAGATCCTATTTCTTTTAACCTTTTTTTCCAAAGCAGGAAGAAGTCAGGATTCAAGGCTGAGATTTCCATGTATTTTCCTTTAAGCTGATTTCCACCTATTAATTACCACAGGTTAAGATAAACAGATGCAAGACCATACATTAGTTGGTTTGAAAAACTGGATACCGTCTTTACAGCATTACTCCTGGGCAGCAGGACGCACCGCACCCTCTCACGAACTCGTGGACAACCAGGCTTTTAATGATGAACGGAACAGCCCCCTCCCTACACACTCTTTTCCCTGCTTTCCCCCTTTTCTCTGTTTTCCCTGGTGCTCCTCACGTCCCACCTTCAGGCTGCGGGGGCCGACGGGCTCCACCAGCGGCACGCGTGCCGCCCAGCAGGCACCTTCTGACGGACCAGCTGGGAAGCAGATGGTTCTCCTGTTTTGTCTGGGCACTCACCAGATGGGAAGCATGCAGATCTTCCGAAAACAGTGCACGCCGTCTCTCAGCTTCAGCAGGCCAGAAGAGCTTCCTGTTGTCCTACCCTTTTTCTAGTTTCTATTTGCAGCCTTTCATTTTAGACATATTCCCTACGTGGGATATCTATTTTATTACCTTTATGTGCTTTCTCCCCCCCAGCATTTATCCTGTGGTGTTTAAGTCTATTTCTGCACCTAATTCTCTACTACAATTTGGTTTTCTTCCCAATGCTCAAGGCATCTTAGGATGATTTGTTCAGCTCATCAGAAGTACTGCTCCCACTGGAAAACTGCTTGA